CACAAAAAGGGCACAGGGAGGAACACTTGGGGACACAGCAGGGGCTGAAGACCCCCAGACTTTTTCCTATTTAGACAGTGAGGGGATAAAAGCCCCAGGGGTTCCTTTGTTCCAAGTCCATCCTCAGAGGCACCAGCTCAAGCTGTTATTTTGTTATTGCACCAAGATGAAATAATTTTAATGACTGGGACATCTGAGACTCTGTTATGGGAAACTGGAGGTCAAGCCTGTCTCACTGAGTGTGGGATGTGCAGCTGTGGAGGGGCTTTGGTCCCAGCTCAGGTGATGGGAGTGTGCCAGTGGCTCCTGGATGGTCAGACCGGGAAGTTTCCTTAACGCTGAAGTTGAGGCCTTTGAAATTTCAAAGGCTCTGGGAGGCTCCTCACATCTGTGAATGGTTGAAATGTTAGCACTGGTGAAGCTTAAATTGTGTTTGAGTCTTTGTATTTTATCCTTCTCCTCCAAGTGAAGTTACCCATGCACGCAACCGCAGCTGACTTATGCAGATAAGGTAGATTTGGCAGAGAAATGCATCCATATTTTAGGATATGACTGGTTTAACTTGCTTTTAATGTTTCACAGTACTGAAGGAGCTCTTGAACTATTAAAAGCATTACTACAAAGACACAAACCTCAGACACCTTTCTTTTTAAAGTTCTGATAATTACTGAGGCTGTGAGTGCTTTAGCATTTTGCACAGTATAAGGTTCAAGATGCTTTTGTTATTGAATAAATCTTTAAAACCCAGTGACAAATCACAAAGCTTATGCAATGCAAACTCGTAATTAGAAACCAGTCAACATCATGCACACAGTGAAATAAAACTATGCATGAACGTGGTAACTCCCATTTCAAAAGTAGTTTCCTTTTGACAGTGGAAAACGTAATATGTTTTTGAATATGCTTTACTGTTGATTAATATTCCAGATTTTGGTTTTGCTTATTTCTGCTTATTTATTTTGTTTGATACTGCAGTTGACATAGAAGGGATATGGTGCTTAAGTAAAAGGGGCATTGGCTGGAATATTTCAAGGAGCTGTGTTTCTAGCTAGAGACAATGGGGATGCAGTGGAGTAGGGAGAGCAGTTCTTGCTGCAACTCCCAGGATATGCTGAGGTTGTGATTTGTGAAGCAACCCCACTCGTGATCCCTGGGGCAGAAAACAATGATTTCATGAATAACAAAACCACAAGAAGAACCATATGACTGTTCTTGCAAAACCTGCTGCCCAAAAGCAAGAAAGGAAAGAACCTTGTAAAACCAGCAGGGAAATGGCCTATATGTGGAAATATTTCAGATCTGAGTTTTTACATTTGTTTTCTTTAGTTAAAAGAAAATGTACATATATGTGGGGGAGGAGAGGTTGCATACTGAAGGTTGTCTGAGCATATAGTTGTTTCTAGAGTAGTGGTATTTAAATAAAAACCTGCCAAATCAAGTCTTCAAGAATTTGGCCAAGATAGCCAGAGCCTTCACCATACAGGGCTTTAAGGACTATTTGGAGAATACAGCATTAATTAGAAATTGTACAAACAGCTAATGAGAATGATGAATAACCTTTTCAGAGTAGCCTGTGATCCTGCCATGGAACCAGCCAGTTAATTTTGAGTTGTAACCAGTAGTTATTCCCAACTAGGGGAAAAAAACCCAGTAATGTCTTTTATCTCCTGCTGTGGCCCAGGTACACAACGCTGTTAGGAACGTGTAATGGAGTCATTATTGGGGCAGCCTGTGGATCTATTACAGTAATTTTTGTTCCAAATGCAGCACAAGCTTTTCTGTACAGGATTCCATAAAACAAGCAAGAGATTTAATCAGGTATGTTAATGGATTCAGAGTATCTTCCTGGAATTGTCCTTTGCTGGTTTATCAGTTTTGGGTTTTCCTTCTGCAGTGTATGTCTTCATTATGGGTACTGCTTTGGGTAATCTAGCAAACAGATAATTTCTGCCATTAGATACTCTTGGAGAAACTAATTTATATAAGTAGATCATGGCTGATCAACTTCCACAATCCAGATATCATAACTGAAGGATTGGTAATGCTGCACAGGGCTGGTACAGCTGATGTGCCAGCAAAGCAGTTCAGGAGAATTCACTGTTTCATTTTGGGCAAAATCAGCCAGATGCACTCACTCCACTGATTAAATTGTTAGTGCCAACTCGCCTCATTTTCCATGGCATGTAAGAGAGACTCTTACAAAGAGCGTCTAAAGTCTCAGTTCCTCCCAAAGGTACAAGAACTAACAAGAAGCAGCAGTTTGGTTGCTGGATTGGAGCCTGTCTTGTGGAGAATCCTTGCTGGGAAGAAGCACTTGCTTGTGTCTCTGCCTGCGTGGTTCTCACATTCGCAGCAATTACTGCCTGAGTGCCGCCTGTCAGCTGCTCTCGTTTGGCTCTCCCTTCTGGTTCACGGCTTTCTGATGTGTGCCACTGCCACATGCAGTAATTCTTGCTGTTTCAGGTCCGTAATTACAAGGGTATTTGGCTTCTGCCTGGTCTGGGCAGGAGAAAAGGTGGCTGATGCTGCTGCTTGTTGCAGACAGGTCTGTAGATCAGAGATAGGCTGGCAGCCGCCAGCCCCTCCTACACTGGAGGTATCCAGCTGCATTTGGATGCGGTGGCACATGAACCTGGCGTGCCCGGGCTGGCTTCCGAGTGGCTGGTTTGTGGGATGCGGGCGGTGAATTAGGGATGCGGGCGGTGAATTAGGGATGCGGGCGGTGAATTAGGGATGCGGGCGGTGAATTAGGGATGCTCCCGTGGCAGGCAGGCACTGCCCTGCGCTCGCAGCGGCCCCGGAGCGCCGAGCGCTGCTGCTGTCCAGCCTGAAGCTGAGTGCGCTTACCATGACTATGTCAGAACACGCAGGACACTCCGCAGAGAGGTGAGTGCAGCACACGGCATTTTGCATCCGGCTCAGAGGCAGTTCTGATCCTGCTGTTGGAAGCAGGAGGGAATCTGCAGCCCGCTGAAGCATGACTAATCAGTTTGCTAAAATGCTGAGCACCCTCGAGTTTAAAGTATTTCTGTCCTGTTGTTAACAGTGACAGGTGATGGTTTGCAGCATTTTTATGAAGTGTGTATCTTGCCCAGGTGTTAAAGCCCTTGGGACCTACATCCTGTGGCAGGTTTCCTTGGAGTATGAGGGAAATGTGCCGCTTGTGTTTCTGCTGCTGCTGTGGGTAGCAGTGTGTATTGTTATTCCAGAAAAGATGCCAAGTAATTATAGTATCTTATTTCTGCTTTGAGCTTCAGCAGTGATTTTATTCTTTTGTCATCTTTCTGTTTCAAAGGAACATGTTGAAAAGGTTTATTTGTTTTGAATGGGGTAATTCTGCATGACAAGAAACAAAAAAACAAAAAACCCAGGTAAAATGCTAGCAGTCTAAATATTTTAAATATTTAAATTTTTTAAAACAGGTGAAGATGTGCTTTATTCTTGTTAAATATGTTACTTGATTCAGGGACACAGATTTAAAACCAGGAAGGTAGGAGTTTTAATACAACAAGCAATAATTGACCAGGTTTTAATTATTAAACAGGGCTCAGAATAGCTCAGAATAGGCAGACATGATATTGCATTTTGTCTGAGGTGGATGCCAAAACTTGGTTAATCAATGCTTGCAAAGCACTCACAGAGTGTCTTGGGTGCAAAAGGATTTGCAGTGTAGCTGAAGTTGTGATGACAAAGCCACTAGGAGCAGCGTCACATAATGTTCCTCTCAAATTTAAAGTCCTGCTTTTTGTATATATAATTATAGTCTTTATTTCTTTGCAGTCATTATTCCTCAAACCAAAATCTAACCACTGCTGCAGTGGGTGGTTATTACTGATGTTATCTGCTTGTGCTGTGCTCCCCTGCCTTTTCCTTAAGATATTATCAGGACTTTGCTTTCTGGTTTTCTTTTCAGCATTCTGTGTTGTGCTACTTTTTAAGGAACTAACACAGTTTCTAAGTCACAAGATAGATCACATTAGTTAGAACTGTTCAGAATCAGGAACATGGTGAGGGTTTGTTTGTATTTTGTTGGAGGATGTTTTGTACATGCTTGTATACAATATATTAGTGCAGTGTAGCTCTTTGATCATTGGATGCAGATGTTTCCACTGTCCTGACACTGGCTGGCTAGATGACCTTAACTTCATTAGTGCAAGCCTTTACTGTTTCTTTTTTGGATTTTTTTTTTGTCCAGCAGTTCTGGTGGTGAGGAACTTGGGCCAAACTAACTCAGCTGGTCTGTATTATCCTGTTGCCAGTAACCTAAAGACCAGCTGAGAAGCCTTGTGACAGGTCAGGCTGACATCTGAATGTTGTAAAGGAGAAAAGTACAGCCAGACTAAGTCACTGAGTCTTCTGACTTTGAGATACCATAGTAGTTTATTTTGAGTGCAGTGGCACTTAGAGACAGTGATGTTCCCACGAACGTGCACAATGGGAAATTTTAACCACGCGTGAGTTTGTAGTGGTTTGTTGCTCAGGCACCACGCTGAACATGAGCTGAATGAAGGCAGATGTTCCAGCAGCACTTGGTGTAATATTCTGATGCAGATTGACAATGTCTCATACTCAAAGTGATAACATGATCACCAGCTGGAGTCTGGCAGCCTTACAATGAGATGTGCAATGTCACCCAGTGCTTCTGTGTTCCTGGTACCTGAGCTCATCAAATTGCTGTGCACCCACATGGCAAATTCAGCATGTCCACGTTCTTACCATAAAGCATGTGCAGTTTGTCTTTTTTTTTTTTTTTTTCAAAAAATGAAAGACTTCAGTTCCTTTTCACGTGTTACTTGGTGAAAGCATAGTTAAAATAACCCAAAACCACAAATCCACAAACATAATAGGAGTCACTTTAACTTCTCGCAATCACTCAAGATAAAAAAGCAGGATATGCAAGGGAATTAACCTGGAATTGAGGAAGGGGGGTTCAAATGCAGCAGTAATGCACTGGTAGAAGGTAGAAGGAGATGTGATGAACTTATTATCTCTTCTGGCAGGTCATCATCATCAGACCTCAACGTGGCTCTACGTGAATGTATGGCAGCTCTGGATTTATTTCTTAACAACAAGTTCTCGGATGCTTTGGCTTCTCTACAAGCAAAGTAAGATAATAAGTCTCCCTACTTTTTCCCTGTTTATATTTCTTTGCTTCACCATCTCTCAGGAGATTTTGACCAAACAGCTGGCTCTCTTAATAGTTGATAAGTCTGTATGTGGTTCAGAAGGGAGTGGTAAGTTAATGTGTTAAGTTTTGGGGAAGACTGATAAATGCTTTACACTTGTGTGAGTAAATAAAATCTTATTATTTACTCACATAAGTGTAAAGCACTTATCTGTCTTCTAAAATTATAGCATTGATGTCCTCAGCTGTAATGCAGTATATGAGATTATTTCTCCTGGAAGAGTAAAAACCATCTTCTGTCACATTTTATTTTTGTCTTCTTTTCCATATTTTTCTGCACACTCTGAGAATCTGAATAATTATAGCTATGTCTCTAAATGAGCAACTGACCATCACTTGAATGTTTGAGAAACATTAGGTATTAACTCTTTCTTTGTTGTTGTAACCACTTGCAGACACTTTCTCACAGCTTATTTTGCAATTCAGTGTTTTGGTCATGCACTCTGTTTCCTAATTATGTTGCAGCCCAACTTATAATGAGTGGCCCAGCTGCAAGCAATGAGGTCATGAGACAGTTCCTAAAAATTGTTGTCTTTACAATGTCTGTGATTTGTCATACCCTGTCCTGAAGTTACCTGTGTTCTTGACTTGTTGCAGTCTGTGGTTAATTTAAATTTCTCCCCCACCCACCCAATTTGCTCCATTTATTTTTGAGCCACCAGCAAATTGCATCATGCCTTCTTTTAGGACACTGGAATATGCAAGAAGTAAAATTCATAGTGTGTATTTGATATGCATCAGGGGTAACTACAGTGAATGCTACATATCTCCTTTGCTGAGGTATCAGCCTCATATTTGATGCCAGAATCTGTAGTTTAGCCATGTAAGTACATTCTGGGAAAGAGAGTAATGATAAATTGTAGCATCAGCTGTATAAATAATGCTGGGTTTATTCACAGCAAAGTTGTTTAGCATTTATATATCATCAAAAGTTATAATAAAAATGGTAAGAAGAATAACTGTATTTTCATTATATCCTGACAGTAAAGCCCCTGTGCCCATCTGGGAAGGCTCACTCAGTGCTTAGCATAAAATAAGGGGATATTTTATTGCAGCAAGTTTCCAAAACACTGCAAAAGCTTGTGAGCCTATGGGTTGTTTTTTTCTGTAAATCCATTTTTCTTCTGTTGCATATGGTTTTCATTCAGCTTTTGTTGGGCTCTGCAGAACGTATTTCATGAGCTGATTCTCTTTTTGTACCTGACTCTTATTCCACACGGCCAAACCATTTTGAAACTAATTTTTCATGTTAGCCTGTTATGAGGAGGCCCTTATTCCTGTTGCCTTTGGCAGTGAGGGAAATAGAGACTTATGATCTTTGTGAGTGTAATGAAGAAACAGCATGTTGAATTTCCCCACAGATGAAATCCATTATGGACACTCTCATCTCTTTAGGAATGAGAAGAGTTGTAGACTGGGCACATGTGGTAGTCCTGAGTATTCTTTCAGAGCCATCAGTTCCTCACTGTTCCCTTTTGGTGTGCTGAGTTTTGAAATTAGTTTTCACAGTCCATAAACATACTATCAGTGTTTAGAGAAATGCTTCTCAGTTTTTACATGCTTGTGGAAAATATAATATTTTAGATTTTTGTGGCTTTAACACTTCTGGTGTAGGAGATACTCTGCTCTGTATTACGTTAATGCAGATTCACTAAATTACTCACATTTGACTTCCACAATAAGTGTATTTTCAACTAATTTGTACCATGTGAAACTGACAGCAGATTTGGCACAATTTGTGAGGCTTAAAATCAGAAGAGCTTTCCTAGCAGCTTAAAAATAAATATCTGAGGATGGTGTCTAGACTTGTGTTGAGGTAAAGCTCTTTTTTTCCTGTTAGAAAAGCAAATCCCTCACAAAGAAAAACAAATCCATTATAAAGAAGAGATCTCATTTCATAGAAAAAATACATCTGATGTTTTTGCCTCATGTTACATAACTTTTCTTGTTTCCTGAAATACCTTTTAGCTTTTAGAGTCGGTTTTCATTATTATTAGCAATCATTGTACAATAGTGGGTTCTGATTATGTTGTGCTTTCTGCAATAAGTTTAATTAAATTTATCTTTTATATGGAGTACTCACACTGCATCTAAGAACTCTTAACAAATTCCCAAAGTTCAGTCACCAAGCACAGCAGTGATTTTCAATATGTAATGTGTTAACTGTTAACATGTATAACTGAATACTGAAACTGTCTAATCACTGGAGCAGGGAAAAAAAAAATCTCATCTTCCTTCTCAGCCCTGAGACATGCAGTAAATCCATTAAATGCTGACTGGATTTTAGCCCTCGTGTAATTGCAAACAGACAATAATAAATTAAGAGTTGATTCTGGTGATATGTCCCCTTCCCTTCCCAAGACACATGCTTAATGTTTTAATAATTATCCTGAAGGAAAACATGGCCTAATTACCTGATAGTTTGGTGATATCAGATCCGTTGGGAGAATGGTAAATAAGATAAATTCCTGACAGAATTATCTGGACCATTGGATGAGGTGCACCACATGTGTTGCTGCTTGCAATATTAAAGGAATAATAAGACAATGATTCATTCCAGGCAGTTGACTTTATTCTGAAAATAGACTCCAAAAAGTTGTTTGGTGGAATATTAATTCTAGAATGACTGTGCTTCGAAAGCTTTCCCTGGGAGCTGATCTCCCAAAGATCAGGTGTGATTGTCAAGTGGTGAGTGGTGAAAGAATAGGGGGAAGCACACCCAGGTAGAGTGAAGTGCTTGGATAAATATGTTGATCAAAGCTTGGGTTAGCTATTTATTGTAAGGGATGTCTTGTCTTGAGCAAGAGCAAGGTTGTTATTTCTAGGGGGTTTATCTTTTTATACCCGAGGTCTGGAAGAACACAACTTTTATAGTCTTTGTAAATAAATTAATCGCAGGCAAAACCTAGTACAATTGTTGGTCTCACCTCTTTGCTGGAAGAACGTAGCAGATTCTGAATTTTGGGAAATGGCTTTGGTTAAAAAGGCTCTGGGATTCTCTTGTTGAGGCACAGCTTTTTGTCTTGAGCCATCCTGGTGGCTTGTGCTAGCAAGGGAGCTGTGGTGGTGGCTGACTGGAGAGGTTGTTGCTGGTTGTTGACTTAATGCTACTGGGGAATCTTGCAGGAAAAGGGTTTTTATCAGAAAATGTTGGTTCATCAAATTAAAGCATTTCTGTGAAAGCCTGTGCCATGGGTCTAGTGAGTTGTTCAGATATTGGGTGGAACCTGGGATCAAAGATGAGGAAAGCCTTCAGGCCCCTTGTGACCACGTTCTCCTGATGCAATTTTGATTTGGGCATTGATCTCTCACTTGAGTCCTCCTGGATGAGCAGTCTGTTTACTGGTCTGTGCAGTCTCACTCTGTGTGGTTGGATTTGGGATTTCTTTTAAGTGTTGGAAGCATCTTGATACAAAATCAACATATGGATTTGAATCTGAGGTTTCTGTAGCTTAGGAATGCATGTCCTGTTTGCTGGATTACTGTTAAGGATCTACAGAAAGGATTTTGAGTGCTATTTTTCACAAAAGATTACTAGCCCTGGGTTAATTCTGAGGAAAAACCAAGCCAAACTTTTTTTGATTTTCATACTTAGCTGGAAAGCTGTGACTGTTCTCACTTAAGCACTTGTTTTGGAGCAGGAATAAAAGTGTTCTCCAGCAGCTCCAAGAAAGGGCAGTGCTGCAAGATGATAATGATTGCACCATAGTTGGAGAAGAGGCATGTGGCAGAACTCCATAAGTGCCTAAAGATATTGCTTATAATCTTCTTATTCAGTCATGTGATACCAACTACTGGGATAAGTCATTAATCACAATATTAGTTGCATTCATGTCATACAGGCTTGTTAACTCCAACAATGTCCTGAGGAAATTGCTGCCGAGGAATCAAAAGAAGAAAAGTGAAAAGATAAATTTCATTCTGTATCCATCCATATGAAACCCAGGCCTTAAAACTCCTGGGAATATGCCAGGATGTAGCTGGCAACTTGAATTGAATGGTTAATAGAAATAGCATAGATAAGTTGCATTTCTGCCAGCATCCCCACCCCTGAAATAAAAAGAACAAATTTGAATGTTGCTAAATACCAGTTGGCTAATCATAGACATTAATTATTATCTCCTTTAAATATTAGAAGTAAAATAGATGAAACTTGATTAGGGAAGGGGTGGTTTGGTTTCATAAACAAATTACTGGAGAGGGAAATCCCTCTTCACCACATATATGTGAAAAGTACTGATTTTCCTTTTAATGCACTGATTTTAATGTTTATCTGCTTTGCTTTAGAAAGCAAATTTCTGTAATTTTGAAAGGGTATTATTTAAGTCACTTCCCTATGCTTTGAATTTGAGCCTTTGGAAGGGTTTTAGTTTAGTAAATACAAGATGAAGTGTGTTTTTCTGTGCCCACTGAGGCTGATGAATAATTTAATGAACAGAAACACTTCATCAAGCTGGCAGTTTGGTGTGTTCATTTTTTTCTACTTTACATTATCATTACTGAAAGAATCATGATCTATGAGGCCAAGAAAGAGCTGTCCTGACTCCACTAGATTTTAAAGTATTTTCTCCATTATCTGTCTGTTCTTCTTAGCTTGCAAATGAGATGGATGGTAGCGTAGTCTGGGTCTTATAGCACTTATGGCACCAGGATATTTCCCAAAACAGCTTTTCTGCTAGATTGGTTTAGATGGTGAGGGCAAGTAGGAATTAAGGACAGCTACAGACCACAGACTGCAGTGAAGTTTAAAGACGTGCACTGCAAATTCCTTGAGTGCAGCCATCCTGCTCTGTGCCCTGTGTGTTGGAAAAGAAGCCCTTTGTCATCAGTGTGAGGGTTGGGAAGCACCAGGCCCAAGTCACTGCAGTGAATTATTAGATTATTGATTAATATAGGATGATCTGCCCAGATACCAAAACCTAGGGTGGCAAGTGTATTTCTGGGCTGAGAAATTACATTGATTGAGGTGTCCATAAAGTCTGGCTTTTTTCCGTAAAAAAAACCCTACAGAATAAGAGGAGATGAGGTTGGAAGGCACCTCAGAAAGTCATGTACTCAAGGAGGGTCATTTTGAATGTCTGCAAGGATACAGACTCTACAACTTTTCTGGATGATGTGTGCCACTGCATGGTCACCCTGATGGTAAAAAAAAGTGTTTCCTGGTGTTCAGCCAGAGCCTCCTGTGCTCTGTGTTGTGCCCATTTCCTCTGATCCTGTCCCTGGACACCTGTGAAAAGAGCCTGGCTTTTCCTCATAGGAGAGATGTGCCAGTCCCTTAATCATCCCCACCACCCTGTTCTTGAGTGTGTCCATGCACTGAGGAGCCCAGAACTGGGCACAGCTCTCAGGAGGGGCCTCACCAGTGTTGTGCAGAGGGGAAGGAGCCCCTCTCTCATCCTGCTGGCAGCAACTCTCCTCTTAACGCAGCCCTGTTGTTGGCACACCACTTTCTCCTTGAAAGAAAAAGAAAATGAAGAAGCACCTGAAGTAAACACACTGAGAACAGGTGTGCTGAGGGTGGAGATTTTGAAAGGATATCCTTGTTTAACTGCAAGTATTTTTGAATATTCCCTGCCATATACAGCTATCTGATCTGTTCTAGAGTGTAAACAATTGAAATAGCAATTGTTGCTCCTTAACAATATTTGTCTTTAGTTGTGCTATTTGTCAGGGGTGGATTAGCAAGATCTACAGAGAGTTTCTGTGTCAGCAATTTATCTGAGCTTGCCCTTCAAGATATTTCTCAAATCATCCTTATTAAACCTCTGTGCCTGAAGGTATTTTGCAGAGAATTACACTAGACACAGGTGAATGCTCTAAATGTGTGCAATATATAAACCCTCTTTGCTGTCAGAGGAAAGGTGCCAGCAATGGCTGCACATAGGAGTCAATTGTTTTCCTTGCACTAATGCCAAAGCTTTTTACTTTCTGCCAACGTGGCACTGTCTGAAACCCTACAGAATAATATTTAAACTGAACAGATTGAGGTGAGGGTTGGTAGAAGGGGAGATGAGAAAAATGCTGTACTTTTTGATACAGACTCTAATGCTTCTGGTGAGAAGATCTGTTTCAAGGAGATTCTATTTTGGCCATGGTTATAGTATTGTGTTCCTTATCTCCTTGAGTCTGTACTAAGTAACTGTCCAAAATTAGAAGAATATCAGCTGGATTTGTGTCATATGTTGGAGCACTCAGTAGATAATAAAAAAAACCCCACCATGATTCTATTGTTTCTGAATGGTGAGCCGCGTGGTTAATTTCTTTATATTTGTTAAAGTTCTATCCTCAGCTCAGAATTGATTCATTTTAGCAGAGTATAGAGAACTGTAGATATGATTTCTTGCACAAATCTCAGTCTATTACTGTTTCTTGATTATTTTGTGTGTGCTTTGTGTTTGATTTCTAGCTCATTTAGACCTTGTTCCCATGAGGCTGATATATTTCTAGAACTGGATTTATATCTGCTTTTTAAAAGCAATAATACAATCAAACCAGCTGTGCTTTGCAGAACTAAAGTTCTTGTTTTCTTGCAGAACTAAAGACAGCATGTATCATGCCCTGACTTATGCCACCATACTGGAGATGCAAGCTATGATGACATTTGATCCTCAGGACATACTGAATGCAGGGAACACAATGAAGGAAGCTCAAGCCACCTGTCAAAGGTAAGACTGGAGCAATTCCAACAGTAAACAGTTCCTTATTTGGAAAGTTTTGAAAGACTACTGGATACAAAAGGAGATGTAATCTTACAGAAATCACAGGAAAACTGAGGTTGGAAGGGCATCAGGAGGTCATCTAGTTCAGCCTCCTGCGCTGAGGAGGATCACAGCACATATGTGCTGTGTTTATGAGGGTGTTCAGCAGTGTAATCTTGAAAACTTCAGTTTACCACAATATCTGATTTTTCTTGTCAATTAGAATTTGTCCTACCTGTAGTCCTGGTTCTGTAGTGTCTGGAAGTTGTTTGCCATGTTCAAACACTGCAGAATGTTCCCATGGGTGATGGGTGTACTGCACTTGTCTGCCTGAGTCAACTGTGCTCCTACTTTTGCACCCACATTCACCCATACACACAAAAAACAAATCAAAACACCCTCTTATCCCTCTCCTTCATCAAGATAGATTTCTGTGCACAAAAGGTAAGAGACAGATCCCAGGAGGACCACATTTGCTAAGTTCTCTGTGCACTGTGCTGAAGTTTGTGTGTGTGGTGAGATCACAGGGGGCTGGTGAGCACTGGAGGCACTTTAGAGACTGTGTGGGTGGCTGGCTGAAAGATATGCTTCTCTGTTGTGATGCTCCTTCTTCAGAACGTTCAAACTGACTTTTTGCAGATTTAGGAAGAAATCTACTGTAGCTGATTCTATCAACAACCTTGTGCATAGGCAAAGCCTTGAACACTTCACTGAAGGTAACATCTTTCACATGAGTAATGTTTTCCCATTTATGCAGTTATTATTTATGCAGTTTGAATCCTGTAGAATTGTTCACTCAATATGTGCTTGCAAATTGTGAATTCACTGACAAAATCACTGATCTGGATTTGCTGGACCAAATGTCAGTGGTTTGGCCATTGCTGTGTAACCAGTCCAAAATCACTGGTCTTGTTGCTTTCTGACACAGCACTCCCAAAAATTGCTGGGTAAAGAAATATCTAGAAAGAAGTATTGAAATGTCTGTAAAGGTTCTAGATCCAGGAATTTATGGAAAGCACCAGAAAAATTTGCAAAGTTTCTGTAACTGAATGTCATTTCTGTTTGGAGTTACATCAGTTGTCTAGAACTGAAACACTACAGCAAATTTGGAAAATATTTTTCTAAGTTTGACTTCTGTGATCTTATTCCTACATTAATGGGCTAAGTGTTTTTTAATTACTTTTTTACTGATTTATTTGTTTTCTTCTCTCTGTGTGATGTTAGAGGAAATCCATGCAGAAATTTGTTATGCTGAATGTTTACTTCAGAGAGCAGCGCTCACATTCCTCCAGGTATGGATTACTGCATGGCTCTTGGGGGAAAAGATACCATACAGGTTTATTTTCCTAAACAGAAGACTATAGTTTGACCTAATGGATTTTTCAGCTGGATCAAGTCTGGATTTTATCTGGACTATCTGATGAGATATTAGAATGTTTAGTTTTCCCTCATGATTATTAAAAAATACCTATGTCAAGACACATAGTGCTGAGTGCCCTCTGACACCTTTCCCCACTCCCTTCTGGATGTGTGAAATGTAACTGCAGCAAGCACCAAGTTTCAAATTATGTGTTGGGATATCAGATTTTAAAAAAAATATGAGACGGTCACTGAAGCTGTGCTGGAATACAAGCAAGACTTTTGTTTGAGTCTGGCTAGTGTTTGCTTCCCCAAGACTGCTTTCTCACTGGTTTGTTCTTGAACAGCAATTATGGTCTGCATAGCTATTAGGCTCCACACATGCTTTCTCCTTAACAGTGCTGTCTGTCTTTAACAAAGGGGAGCTCTCCCTCTTTTTTGGATTTTATCTGTCTGTCCTAATGAAGCTTGATTTCTTTGATGGAGCAACATTAGCAGTACTTGCTAGGGCTCCAGCATGCAATTTTAATTGTTAGTCGCAGTTGAAATAACTGATTTTTCTTCTTGATTTGGCTGTAGTTGCTGTATGAAAGTGGGCCTCTTCATCTACCAAGGGGATAATAAAAGCCACAGTCAGAAAAAGGCTGCTGCTTCTTGGCTCAAGGGTGCTGATAGGAAATGGAATGCAGGTGGTGGTTTTATAGTGTTTGGGAGTTGCCAGGTGGGCTCTGATTTATGTTGCTTACAGTTTATGAACCATGTAACCTTTTTCAGCCATCTGCTAAGTCCCTCTGCTAGAAACTATTGCATCATAGCAACACCCATAATCAGGTCAGCTTCTGGTTGTTTCTAGAGTACTGATGACGAACTTTGAAATGACCAAGGTGTAGCTACCTGTTTCCATTTTCCTTTGGGATGAGTAGCCTCTGGCACTGGGGCAGTTTGAGTGAGCTCTGAAACTATGGAAGTTAGACTTTTGACAGCTTCTCTGTTATGTCTATAAGAAAGGAGCATTTTAAAGCAGTGTCTCGATTTTAAGCACTGTATTTGTTTATGAAAATGTTTATAGAAACATGAGATTTAAGAGTACAAAACCAATTTTTTGTCCTCTTTTGCAAAGGCCTCTTCGCTTCCTATTCTCTTCTGCATTTAATTTTTCATGAACACATAAACTAGTTGAAAAATTAAATAGAGGCACTTGGTTCCAACAGCTACTGAAGTGGGTTGGTTTTGATGCTTAGAAAAATGATCAAATCCAGTTGAAAACACATAAAATATAGTCTCAGCATTTTTCAAGGGCTGAAAAATTCTCACATTGGTATCCCTGTTGTTGGTATAATTCTGAGTGTAAACATTTTAAAACCCATCTTCCTTCCTTGTTCCACTTGCCAGTCAAAGGCTGGGTGTGCTGCACCCCCCAATATGCTGTACTTAGTTAGTACATCTAATTAATTAATCTAAACCATTTCTCCACAATGTCCTCTTACGATTTTTCTGTGATGGTATCCTCTGTTAAAACACATGTAGGCTCTCTGTCTTAAAGTAACAGCAGACATCAAAACAAACCAGAATGACAGATTATATAAGTGAGGCCAGAAACTGCCTCCAAAAAATTATGAAACAAAAGACCCTCTAAATAATGGTCCCCCAGATACTTTGCTGTAATTTATCAGTTTATTATAGCTTATCATGTAACATGTTGTCTTCCTAGTATGGATCTTATGTATCGATACGAATATTCAAACAATAAAGAGCATATCCTGCATAATTTTACTGACCCTGCTTCACTCTTAGGATATGAAGCTGTATTCTGCAGACTCTTGAGGACAGGCAATTTACATGTGAACATTTCCTGGCTCAGCACCAGATACATCCTAACTACACTCAAGTACAAATGAGAGAAAGCTATTTTTTGAAAGAGCCACAAAGGAATGTAATTTAGGTGAATCTATTAGCTGAGTCCCTGTGTTCATTAATACAAATTCAAAGGTGGCGAGCTAAACTGTTCACAGAAATCATTAAAATAAAATGCCTGTGTCTAAACAGAGTAAAAAATATTTTAATATAGAAGGGAAATCTAAATCCATGTATTATGTCTTAGAGGCTTATATTGTCTGTGTCATGCTGGTTATGTTTCAGGTGTGTATTCATCTTCAGAAGACAAGAGCCCTTTATAGTGCTTACAAATTCATATTACTCATGTGTTTCCATTCCAACAGGATGAGAATATGGTCAGCTTCATAAAAGGAGGCATCAAAGTCCGCAACAGTTACCAAACCTACAGGTGAGTCAGAGGGATGATGTCATTAAGTGCACTCTATCAGTAAAAAGTGCTGCTGGTTAAACGATCCAATTCACAAATTCATTACTGTTCTATTTACTGAGTCTTTATTATGGACCTCATGTCTACAGATTTCTTCAACCTGAACAGATTCTTCCTTTGCATAACAAAGGACATTAACATTATGGTTGATTTGGATTCTACTTCAAGTACTATATCCTTGAAATTATGTCCAAAAAGTAACTGTTCTAAATTATGTACTGTTCATTGTGTCAGCATAGCAGAATTTGCAAGTCTTGTAGGCTATAGGCATAATGAAATGGCATTTATTTATAGTACCAGCTGCAGCTTTTTGGAGCATTTAATACCAGTAACTGAAGTACAGTAAAAAGTGAAGGCTAAATATGTATTTATTTATTTTAGAATTATAAATTTTGATTCAGAGTGGGCACAAAATGTCTTGTGTCCAGCAGACATAAAACAGCATCAAGTCCAGGTTCTCCAGAAGTCCTGGAAGGGAGAGAGATGACAGTGTCCATATTTGTATGGGTTGAAGGTGTCTCTACGTGCAGGTCCAGAAGACTACACTTACAGGAAATAATGCTGGGTCTGTTGGCAACACACAATCAAAAAAATGGGACAGCCTGAACACAAATGCATGCTTCTATTTTTTCCAGTGTTTTTCCTCTCCTAATAATTAACAAAATAAACTAAAACAGTAGTGTAAAAACCACATAGCTATAGAAAGCTTGGAGGCAAATTGATTTCAAACTGAGCTGGATTATGTGGGAAATAAAGGGACACTACAAAGCTGAGACGTATAAAAGTTGGAAAAATGAGTGAAAGTAATTTCTGATGCATCTGCCCACTTTGGAATATTTATTACCATTGTCTTTTCCTATGTAAAACAAAATATTCTTTTGAACATGCAGGCAGTCCAGGGATTAGTGACACTCAAGTTCAATTTGCTAATTTAAATTTAAGGCTTGTGCACTGCTCCATCATCTTGATTTGCAGTGGCAAAGTTTGTTGATGCTCCCAACAGCCATCCTTGAAACATTTTCAGTCTGAAATGTAGTTGAATATTGACTGTGCCTGTTTGACAGGAATTCCTCTCCAGAATTCCATGGTTTTCAATTGATAGTAATGTGACAGAAAATATTTGTTGATAAATCCAGCAAAATGTAAATTTTGTTCACTTGAGTGAGATGACAAATTGGCCTTTTATAAACTGCTCTGTAGTTCAAGGTAATGGGTTACTTTCTTACTGAAGTATAATTAATCATGTTATTTACTGACACTGTAACAGAGTCTTGTGCATTTCCAGGGAGTTGGACAGTCTCATACAGTCCCCACATTATGTCAAAGGAGAGAACCATCTTCATTTTGAGGGAGGTGTAAAACTTGGAGTTGGAGCATTTAACCTGGTATGTACCAACACTCTAATCCTGAGCTGGTGTCCTGCTACCTCCTGAAAATGACCATAACTTGAATTCCTAAGAAGTTCTCCTGGCATCATGTGGATCACTTGGCTAAAATTAGTGTGTGCTCTGACAGTGCAGGATCCCAGTGTGTGGGCTGAGAACATCAGATCATTACACTTCAGAAATAAAGAGATTGTTGCCCACAGCATGGCATGAAGGCACAGAGAAGCCTTGCCCAGGAGCACCAGTTGCCTCTGCCTGTCGAATTCCACTTACTCTTTACCTGACACTTGGAAAACTACCAGGATCTAGGCTGTTAGCAGGGCAGCTGGAAGGGGTGGGGTACATGAATGAAGTTTGAGGTGCTGCTCCAGCCACAGTTGGCTGTTGTTGCTTGTGTTCTGGCCAAAAAGCAGGTGAGCAAATGGTGCAAGATGGTTCCTGGGGAAGGACTGACCCAGAGATCATGAGAGTGGATGTGGTTGTTCAGGGGATGGGCTGCAGAAAGTGCCTGGAGCTTTCTTTTACTTACATTGCTTTGCATGAGTCTGGCACATGCCAAATATCATATTTACTGCACAAAGAACAAATATGGACTGTGATATGAACCCAGCATTTCTGAAATATCCAAGGAGTACTGGAGTTACTAAGCGTGTGCTGTGTAAACATATTTCTGTGTAGGGTATCCTGGAGACACAAGGTGCCTATATTAAATATATTTCTGTTTAAATTGTACGTAAAATACAGCAGGTGTATACATTTACCCTGAAAAAATGTCATATAGAGATGATTTTAGTAATTTTATTAATTATTTCTTGTGTTTGGAAAAATTGTAGGAGGCCATTGGTAGCTGAAAGGCAGAGTCTGTTACTGCATTAAATCTTACATTTTTCCCTGTAGACATTGTCCATGTTTCCTGCACGGATTCTGAGATTACTGGAGTTTGTTGGATTTTCTGGGAATAAGGTAAATGTGAACTAAATATTATTGCTACATTCCCCTCACTCTTAAATTAAAAAACAGAGGCAGGAGTTTCTCTCTTCTCCCTTACATTAGCTGTAACCCTCTGGTATCACACATGTGCACTGTGGCACTGATGCTTTCATGCAGCTCGGTTTTCTTTATATTTTTTTGCTGAACTATTGCACTTCAAAGGTTGTCATACCATTGTTCAGTGTTGAAACAGTTGTGAAACATGGTAAAGGCAATGGCTAATACAGGGGTGTTAACATATTTAGGTTTTTAGTTACTGGTCTGTTGATGTAGGCTCGTGCTCTGAAATCTGTAGCCAAAAGTGTATTCCTAGCTTTCAGTATATCTACATAGCTTCCTTGGTAGCAACTGTCATTATGGGGTCTGAATGTTCCTGACAGGTTCTTGCATGACAGGGGAAAGCAAAAATCTATTTTATTTCTGCTTTAATAGCAACTGGAGTAAGTGCTTTTTTGCCTGTAAACAGTCTGACCAACCAGTTTGAGCAAGATGTTTAAGGAAGGAAGTTCAGTAATGGAGCACCAGAAAACTCACTCTTTTATAATACTTTATATTTACAAAACATGTTTTAAGGAGAAAAGTGTCTTTTTTATCAGAGCTGAAGCCTTACATGGCAGGTGAATGACTGTCATCACCATTTTATTGGTTTAGAGGAAGGATCTTATATCTGAAATTAAAATGTCTTATTTAAAAGCAAGGAGCAGAGTGTGGATTACAATTTAGAAATTTCCAGGAGCAGACCAGAAGCTATTTCACAGTAGTAAAGGCAAAAATCAAATAGTTCTACCTGTCAGTTTCAACAACAGAGCATTTAAAGCAAAATAATCTCTTAGAAATGTAAAGGCAATTCACGTATGAGCAGAGTTCTGAGAATACTTTGGTAAATGCTCATCTTACTCCTGCAGATGGAAATTGTCCCTCCAATTAAGTTTTTATTTGGCCCTGGGATTTCTTGTATAGCTGTGAGTGGGCTGATATTTGTGTTGATGAGTCAGCTCCTAATACAGTTTCTTAATAACTCACTGAAGCATGACCTAGATTACCATAAATTTGAGCAAAACCCTGTTGTTTGTACACCATACAAAGGATCATTTTAAACATGTTGATCAAAGTTCATTGATCACAATGAATTTATTTGTTGAAAAAATTTATTTTAACACCCTAAAAAAGACTTTCTGCATTTAACATTTGTGAATCAGGTGCCTAAAGCCAAAAGCAAAATTGCAATTGCGTGTGCAGTCCTTTCTAGTGGTGGTTTTCCAAAGTTTCCAACAAGACAATGTACAGGAATCTAGAGGGTGAAAGAAGCAGTGACAGAGGAGGAGTAGAAAGTCTGTTCATCTGTGCTTCACTTGTACAGGAGTTTTTCATACACCTGTGTTTGATGCTGCAGCCTTTTCCTTTATATGCTTACTCTGAGTATCAGATTGTGCAGCAGAGTCATGGTTAGTGCCTTGAGCTGTTTACAGATTACCTGGGAGAGCTGGAGTGCACTGCAGGACAGCTTGATTTTGGCGTGGGTCACATGTTTATTAAAACTGGATATAAATTTGCATTGTGTGATCCTCCACAATGCCAACCTGCCTCAAAGCCAGCTCATTTGCCCCTGGGGACTCTCCTTTATCTCTGAGTCATGTCATGGCAAACAGCAAATGAGGACATGCCCAAGGCTTCAGCACTTCCTAAGCCATTTGCAAGCTCTGTGGACATTATGATCAACTTAACAGCAGTCTGGAGTCTCAAAATAGTAGGTGAGATAAGATCAAGAAAATATAAAAAATAACCTGAAGCCGTGTTTGTTCCCTTCCAGTCCAAGATGTGCCAGCTGTGCCCTTCGCACTGTTTAAGCTCCTTTCCCTTGCATCATTACTCTGATCATGGGCTTATCTGTGTTTAGTAGCACAGGCCCCCCATTTGGGCAGTGAAGGTGAGTGCAGTTTTGCCCAGTTTTGAGAGGAGAGCCTCGTGGGCAGAGATGTGTCAGGCACCCTGTGCTGGGGAGCACAGCAGCCTCACTGGGCAGTAGGTGGAGTGTGTGTCCCATCTGCACTTGGGTGTTGAACCGGGACTAACCTGTGACGCCAGAGCAGGAGACTCCTTGCACTGTCTCCCTGCAAGCCTGAACCCTCCCCACTGCCTCCTCTGCCAGCTCTCAGGCTAATATTTACTCTTCTGCTTATTTTATAGGTGATTACAAATGCTGTGCTGCTAAACTCTAGAACAGTTTGACGTGAGCCTACCATATGTTAAGTGCAATTTGTCAGGGGGTCAGATGACAGCGTGATTTCATGAGAAGGCAGGAAAACTGTCAGATAGAACCAATTTCTTTCAAATTATACTTTTTTTTTTTTTTTTTTTTAATGTGGGAGGACATTTTTCCCAAAGCTTAAGAATACTCTTGATGTGTCAGTTTCTAATAAATTGAATTCCAGTTTCTCACTAAGCATCTCTTTTGAATTGCATTTTGGTCTCTTCAAATTTTACATGAAGCTTAAATCTAATGTTATTTAATGATGTACATTCAAGTGCCCTGTTTATCAGCTTAATTAGTCAGTTGTTTGTAAAGCTGTTAGTAGTACCCATCCTCCTTGCTAAACCTGCAGCAATGTGGTCAAGCCATGGGATATGAAAAATGACCCTGCTTTTGCCTTCATTGCCAAGATCCCAAATTAAAAGAATGTTTTAAAAATAACATCCAAGAACTTTTGCTTCAGGAAAGTCGATGGGTTTTAGTCAGTAAGAGCTGAAATAAATATGAACCAGTCTCAGTGTTGTCTGATAATGATTTTGAGCATCGTCCTTATTCATCCTGCAGTTGCTGTGGGAATCCCCAGTGCTCACGTGGGGAGTCCTGAATGAACTAGATTGGATTGAGACAAGAATTGAATTGATCCTGAATAGGATGTCTTGGGACAAGAACTGAATCAATAAGATACTGATATACTATAATGTAGTGACAGTCTTGGGATTTAGATTGTGGGATGTCATGAGGAACTTGCACAGAATGTTGAGAGTTACCACACTGGATCATATCTGCTCTGTGTTCTACCTTATATCCTTCATGTTTTGTGTGAAAATAAAACTGAAATGTGTTAGTGTCAATTAGGGAAATTACAAAAATATTTCTCTGGAAAAATTGCGAACACTTGCTGCCTTGACACCTGTTTTATATTCACCAAATGCCCTGTAATGGACTTTGTCTGGAGGCTTGTTCCTGGTGTTCTGGGATTGCTTCTGTCACTTGTGACGTAGGTGTGGGAGATAGTTATGGGTCATTTATGGTTAGAAGGTGTGTCCTGACAATTAAGTGTAATGTACTCACTGTGCCAGTCCCTAAGTGAGTGCAGTGTGTGTGCAGAGTTACTCCTCGGGCTCAAGTAGCTGCTTGTGATTTGGTTCCCAGATCCTCAGTCTGATCCCAGAGAGCCTTACACTGTCCAGCTCCTGGCACTCCCTTGGCTGATGGGGATTGTTTGCTAATCCCTGTAGGCTCCCTGTGGAGAAAGGGTGGTGCTTGAAAGGTGATTCCTGTGCCTGATCCAGGCTGCTGTGCCAAACTCTTCCTTGGAGGAGTACCTCTGCCTCAGCCAGGCACAGAGGGAGCCTCGGGAGGCCAGCTAGGGAGTGTGGGATGTAAAACATGGCTCCCAGTCACACCCTTCATATTCCTATTTTCTGGGTATCCCATTGTAAGAGAAGCAGTTTGCAAGAGGTTTTTTTGAGGAGAAGCAGCTTTGCTGCAGTGTATTCTACAAGCAAGTAATAAATACTAACAGCTACTTCTAGATTTCTTTTATTTAGGCTGTGTCTTCTACTGATTGTTATTACTTTAATACAGAAAGTTTTGGATATTCAGGTGGCAGAGTGAAAAGTAAACAGACTTTTATACCTCTGCTGGACTAAATGGGTTTATGGACATTCCACACAGTGAACTAACTTGCTCAGTGAGCTCGTTATGCCTGTATAACTACTCAGTTCAAGCATTTAGAATTAAGGGTGTCAGATTTGCAGCCCTTTTCTGATGAATGGGCAATATTCTTAATCCAGTTACTGCTATCCAGGATGTAGTCCTGTGTAACGTGTGTGGATTCATTCCTTGTCCATACAGATTATAACTTTAGTGTTTGGCTGCACTCAGATGTGCTTTTGAGACTAAAACATAATTGAGATCAACTTGACAAATGTTACATTATTTTATATGACAAACAAAGTCTATTTGAATCATTCTTAGTGCTATTCGCATTCATTATATATATATTTAATATGGAAGATACTGTAAGGCCTAGTGTCAGTAAAGGCTCACTGATATGTTAAACCTGAAGATTTTTCATTGAAAAAAAATGTACGTTGGAAATGTACTTTGGAAATTTTTTTTGCCAAAATTCATTCCACAGAACGTTTTGTTTTACTTCTATCTTGAAGCGCTACTTTGTAAAAATACAAATATTTGTGGGTTTCATCTGGACAGTTTGAAGAAGCTGAATATATAATATTTTGTTACTTATTTGTATCAATCAAACTTTTCCTCTCAGCAAAAAATGAAGCTGGTTTGATTTTGCTAAGTACTTGATTTCCATTAAGTCACTGATTTTCTGTAATGATTTTACTATCTTTTAATTTCTTTTGTAGTGGCATGCAAGTCAGTATTTTCATTATTTAGAACTACTAGATATTATAATAATTGATCTGCAAATATGAGTAATATTTTTCCTTTTAGCAGTAATTAATGTAATACATTGAGTTTTCAAAATAAAAACAGAGAAGCAAAATCACAACCTCCCCTATATTTATGTGAAAACAATTAACTGCACTAGTTAATTGCAAAAATAGATGTCTGAGGAAAATGAGAATATGATTACAGGCTTCAGTGTTTACACAGTAAGCAATAGAGGCATGGTGCTGTAACACCCCTCAGTCAACAAGAGCACACAAAAGATGTAAATTTGTGCTGGGATCGTGCTCTGAGGGCTCTCCCTGATGCCCTTCCTGGTGCCTCTGATAGACATCCCTCAGGGTTCCTGTTTATAGTGTAGCTGGTTTGAAAAGGTGTCCTTGTAGTCACACACATCGAGTTCCATTGACCTTCCAGTGCAGTGATGGAGTAACTTTTAAACAGATTTTGTCCCAGAACACAGTGGATGTTTTACTGTGCATACTTAAAAGTAGGAAGATCTCTTGTTTGATACATTTGCATATTTATATTCTTGCTGTTGATATCCTGGAACTAGTCCTAGAATGGGCTGATAAATGCTCTTGCCTCAGGAACTTGAATTCCTAAAGTTGGTTATCCATCATGCTGTCATTGACTATGAACACACTGTTATACTTGATTGCTTTAGTTCTTCCCAAAGGGAACAGAAATACTCTTCTTTTCATCATATTTTTCCACTGGTAATAGTGGGCCAACATCATTGCAAAGCTCCTTTTGTTCTTGGCATACTTTAAAATGCCTTTTTGCCCTGACATCTTTTGCTCTGCTTGTTGCAGATTTTATTTTCTTGATACCTTTATCTCTTCTGTGCAGTGAACCACAGCAAACAAGAATACATTGTACAATGGTGATGTGTGGGTTTTGTTTTGTTTTCAAAACCCTGTGTTTTGTTTCTGGAATGCTGTTTAGCAGCACTGGGATCACAGCGATAAGTTGTTTTCTTATGTTAATCACGTACTACATCCCATGTTGCTGCTCTGTGTTTTCCAGGCTAAGCAGTAACTCCATGAAAAACTATTAGATAAATGAATAGGTGTATTTTTATCTTTAATTGCTGTGTAAGCAATTAGTGCCTTTTGAGGAAATTTTCAGTGCTTTTTAGGGAATTTGGTGAGTGAGCAATCTGTAGCTGACCCTGCAGAAGTTAAGCCAGCAAAGCACAGCCCTGGTTCTTTCCCAACACCTTGTCCCCCTCCCTGTGTTTGCACAGGAACATGGTCTGCTGCAGCTTCAAGAGGGAGCATCATCATACAGCTTTAGGTCGGTGCTGTGTACCATGCTGTTGCTTTGCTATCATACTTTCATGACCTTTGTGTTAGGTAAGATTGTTTATAATAACTCTTGGATTTGATTAGTTCTTGTGGGACACAAAGGGGGAAAAGATGATTCACCTATTTGTTGGTGAATTGTTTGTAACCAGATTAAGTGTAGGTCATTTATTGGCCATTTTACAGTAATGATCAGAACTGAAGAGCATGTTTTCACTTTTAAAATGGAGGTTTTTTTAACAGGTGAGAAGGGAGATACTGGGGATGGCCAAGAGAGTTGTGAGAACTAAAATCTGTTTTAGCCAGGTGCATTGTTGGGGAGGTTAAAATAATGACTGTAAGTAATAATTGCTTTGTTGACATTGGATTTTCTCTGGGAGGTGACAGCTTCCTGCTAATGTGTATTTCTGTATTATCTCCTGCTAAATCGTTCTGCAAAATGTGTTTGTGCCTGAGTTTTCAAGTCAGGAAGCACAATGTTTTCAGGGCTTCCTGCTGCTGCCTTAGTGCAGCACCAGCCTGTATTTATGCCTTAGTGGAGAGAGGAACCAATATGTTGGCCAACTGAGCATAGAAAATCAGTACCTTGCATTCCTGTTCTCTTTTTTCTTTGCTTTGTTTTCTAACTATTTTTATCACTTGCATTTTTACACATTCTAGGGACAGGAAAAGGAAATGTTGAGGAGGCAGAAAAACTACTTAAGCCTTACTTGGCACGCTATCCAAAGGTAAAATTAACCATAATTTATTTGCTGTGATCATTTAATGTTTTTGTGCCAAAATTGAAAGATCTAGACTGAATGGCCGGATTGAAAGCTGTTATAGAATACTTGTGTTTTTATTATTATTTATTACAGGGAGCCATATTCCTGTTTTTTGCAGGCAGGATAGAAACACTAAAGGGTAATATTGATGCGGTAAGTAATCATTTTGCTCTTAAGAAAGTAAATTTCAAAACCTTTGGAAAAATTCCTCCAGGAATGTTATTTCCTCTTTGGCTAATGCTTCCTCTGGCTTTGGCCTATACGTAATTTGTAGTTTATTAAATTACAAACAGGAATTTTGAACACTATTTTGACTTGTTTCTCCACCTCATTTTGCTACCCCTCTCAATTTCAGGTGATAATGTAGTCCACCAGGATTAATGACACAGTTTTGTCATTGTTGTTCCCATCCTGCAGCATATTGTATCTTTAATGAGACCCAGTGGTAATCTTTTGCCTTTGGTGTGAGCAGAGTCATAAAATAATTGAAAAAATTATTAAGATGAAGAATGCATGTCCAAAATACTCTGAGACAGAGTATCAGCTGGTGTGCAGGGCAGTAGCTCCCTTGAAATGCATGAAAGTGCAACAATAAATGTCAGCTGAGCATCTGTCGCCTGCCTTCAGTTTCCTAATTTCCCAAGACACAAACATTCATTTTGAGTATGCTTAGAAAAATAACTTTAAGAGTGGGGAGCTCTGTGGCAGGGTAAACTTGCTAACATCAGCATGACTGTGTAGCCAAGAATCTCTTAGGTAAAGCAAACAGATGTGATTTTGGGAAACACTGGGCTGGCAATAATTTGGGAGCTGCAGGAGCCGTGCAGGCAGATCCTGGAGCCCCAGTGTGTGTTACAGCTCCTCTGTCTGTGCATTTACACCTGACCAAGGCAGTGTTTGCAAATCTCTGTGTGCAGGCAGTCAATAGGTACGAGGAATGCTGTGAAGCTCAGCAGTACTGGAAGCAGTTCCATCACATGTGCTACTGGGAGCTGATGTGGTGCTTCACCTACAAGCGCCAGTGGAAGATGGCTTTTTTCTATGCAGACCTGCTGAGCAAGGAGAACACTTGGTCCAAGGTAAGTTCAGCAGAACAGGAGGGCAGGTGGCCTTGTAGTATCTATTGACTTTCAAGCAAATTGAGTTGATTTTTTGTAGCTTTGAAGGTGCAGACTGTAAGGTAAACCTGGCCTGCTGTGACTGCTACAGAATGATGTGAATTGCAAACATCCAAATCTGAACAGATGGTGGGCAAGCAGAAATCTTTTGGGCCCAACTGGTAGATGAAGAGCAACTTGTTAAAGATGCTGTGTAGTGACTGGTTGTGTCATCAGATGTTGCAATTAATGGTGCAAGTTGCCATTTCTTTCATTATGCTCTGGATAAAAGCTCTTCTGCTGGTGAGTGAGGTTAGCCATGGTGGCGCCTCCAGGGTAATAAATACAATTAGAGGTGGTGCCTATCCCTGTGCATCTGGAAGGGAGGAGCTCTTCAATCCAGAGCCCTGGTAGCTTTCCTCCCTTTCTCTTCTCTTTTTGCCTTTTTAAAAATGGGGGTTATGTTTCCCCTATTCCAGTTACTGGGAATTTTCCTGAGCTGGCTTGACTTCAGAAATGCTCTGGGCAGAGACTTAGCAACATCATTTACCATTTCCTTTGGGACCCATGAGCTTGTGCCCCTTCAGGTTCATTAGATGGTCTTGAACTCAAACTTCTCCTGCCCTGGGCAGTTCATCTCACGTTCTCTGCCTTTGCTTTCTGTGACTTGGGCAGGGAGGCTGGGGTCTGAGGGAAAAAAGTCAGAGTTCCTCAGCATTCTCCAGATCCTAGGTGAGCTTGTCTCCTGCTTTCTTCCAGAGAGGCCCCACATTTTCTCTAGTCTTCCTTGTATCACCAACACACCTACAGAGCCTTTCCTTGTTGCTCTTTCCATCCCTGGCCAGACACCAGGGCTTAAGTTTTCCTAACCTGATCCCTGGCTCTTCAAACAATTTCTCTGTATTCCTCCCAGGCTACCTGTCCTTCCCTTCACCCTCTGTAGGTTTCCTTTTTGTCTTGAGTTTGTCCAGGAGATCCTTTTTCACTCACATGGGCCTCCAAGAGTTTTTGCCTGACTTCCTCTTTTTTTGGGATGCATTGCTCCTGGGCTTGGAGGAGGTGATGCTTGAATATTAACCAGATTTCATGGGCCCTCTTCCCTCCAGGGCTTTATCTCATGGGACTCTACCACACAGATCCCTGAAGAGGCCAAAGTCTGCTCTCCTGAACTCCAGGCAGTGACTGTTTTCTAGAACCTACTATTTGGGATATGTTGCCAAGTTGTGATGGGACAGAGACTGTATATTATTAGGTTTTTTCTCTGGGCATGACCCTATCTTAGGTTTTCTAGCATGTGTTCCTAAGAGTATTAAAAACTTATTTTACTGAAGAATGAGATTTGTTCTTGGAATTTGGACACAAACTATTGGCTGATATATACTAAGCAAACACATACATGATTTTAAAACAATATTCTACACTCACTTTCTAAAATACTTACCTCTTACTTAAATTTTTGTAAGACTGTGAGCAAAAGTAGCAACTGCTTCCCTTTATGTTGCTCTTTTGTGCTTTATATGAATAAAGGTGATGCTGTAAATTCATTTTTTCTGTATAGATATTCTTTGTTGCATTTTCAGGCTACTTACATTTACATGAAAGCTGCTTATCTCAGTATGTTTGGACCAGATGACTGCAGTCCTTTTGGAGACAGCGAAGTTGAATTATTTAGGTAAAATTTGCAAACTCAGTTACAACAATTTACTACCTTTTCATGTCACAGTGTTGGGGGAACAGAGGCAAAATTATCATGCAAATAGCAATGGATTGGTGAGAAATTGCAGAGTTAAACATCCCTTAGACTAAAGTGGACCCTGAGTTCAGACAGCAGATTTCTCCTGGCCATACAGTGGCTGCTGCTGTTCCATGTAATACATTCTTTTTCAGTTACTTCCTTTAATCCAAATGGAATGTAGGATGTGAAAGCCTTCAATGGATTATGCTGCAAGATGTGTTCTTCCTTAGTGGGAGCATCAGCACAACTTGATTCTTGAGTTCTGAGTCTCAGAGGAGTAAGACATAATTAAATGTGCAAGTAAATCTATGCATTATAAACACAGTGAGATAACCTCACTGTGTTAATGAAATGCTTAAGCTCAAAAAGGCTTGCTGGGGCAAAGAAAATTTGGTTACCTTAGGGTTTACGATTTTTATATGAAATCTAATTTTTTAAAATGTGATTACATTACTCTTTTTAAGTTTTCTGTGTCTTTTGTAATCATTATATACAGATTTCACTGAATTTCAAATACATTATGAAGTGAATAGTTTTAGTCTTTGGGAGAATGGGGAGACAAAAGCTAGTTTGCCTCTTTCTTAGTCTGTGAAGAGAGATGAGCCCTTTATAAGTCAGGTGCATCATCTAATTTAATCTTTCAGTGGGGAAGAGTCCCTCTCCTCCTGCTTGATTAAAGAGGAAACCTAGAGATAAACGTGCTCTGCATAAAGACAGCTTTTGTGAGTATGTATTGCTCAGCTTCCCCGAGGTAGCAATAGCCCAGTCTGTAACAGCTTTTTAAAGTTCTCCTTGGTTTGATTTTTTTTTTGTTGTCTTGAAGTTTGAATGCCTTCATGTCAGAGGTTCACAGGGGGAAAATTCCTTACGTTTTCCTTTAAACTTTCAGGATTGTTCCCAGCCTGAAACTGAAAATTGCAGGGAAATCTCTGCCCACAGAAAAGTTTGCAATTCGGAAAGCACGACGGTATCTCTCTTCAAACCCTGTTCCTTTGCCTGTCCCGCCTTTGGTAAGTTAGAAATATCCACACACACCCCCTTTCCAACATATTTGTAATTTAGAGAAATAAACCCGAGATAATTGGAATAGTATCTTTCTGTGTTTCTGAGGTAAAACCTCTGCAGGAGACTGGAATGTTCCCAAAGCAAAGCCAGATGAATGCAAGGAATGCTGTAAAACTGGGGCATGCACCAGCCACAGGGAACTCAGCCAGCTGTTTGTGACACGTAAATGTGTTGCATGTGTAACTCATTATTCCAGCTATAGAGTAGCGTGCTCCCAACAGCTTTCTTTTGGTTCCCTTTGGAGGAACTGTGCCCTGGGTCTCTTCTGTCGTGTCACTTGCTAACAGAGCACTATAAGGTACAAGGAGGGGTGGTGTCAAGGAAACAATGGATGGTTTGGGGCCCGCATGTAAGGAGCTGCTTAATGTGCCCTTGAATGTTTGCAGTTTGGTGCTCTCCAGAGCAGCTCATGGGTGCTGGGATGAAACAACTGACTCCTTTGGCCACCCCAAAAAACTGCTGCGACTGCTGGGGTTTTTGTTTAATTTTTTTGTTCCTTGTAATTCTGTCCTGTCTCTGTTGCCAGTTGCATGAGACACCCATTGCACTTAGAAAAATCTGTCTGCAAAGAAAATGTAAAAAAGAGCACAAAAGGGTTTTGAGTCCAGGGATTTGCCAAGTGCAGTGGTGTTAATGCTTGCAGTGCTTTCAGCTGTTTTTTTTAAGAAAGAGATGGATAATTAGTAAATACTCTTTAAGAAAATGCCAGAACAGGGAGAGCCTCTTGGAGCCAACTCCCCAGCCTAGCAGGGGTACATGACACTGAAATAGTTTTTACAGCAGAGCATGGGTAGCCACCAGGGGCCACGTTCCCCTAGTAAGACTGAAGTGAGAGAAATAATTAGGTTACTTTGATGTGCCTTTCAGGTTTCAGAGAGAGAGGAGTGTACACACCTGGGGTTTGGCTGGGCTATCCTGATGGGATTTTGGCAGAGCAGGTTTCTGTACCAGGAGCTCTCTGGCTGGGCACATCCTTGGCTGCTGTGCAGTTACATTTCCGAGGCAGCAGATGCCGCAGCTGAACAGATAAAAGCACTTTATAGATGTGTAACTGGGGACAGAATCTCATCTCCAGGATTTTTCTTTTCATTGTCAGGAGACTTACTGGAAAGAGTGAGTCCTCAAGCAAGCCTTAGCTTGAGGAGATATAGCTTGAATAAATGTGGTTTGAATACTTCTGTTTGAAAACCATGTTAATGAATCTGCACTAGGTCCAGTAAGCTCAGCACAGGTTTTCCAATCAACAGAGACCAGATGGTGAAAGCAACAGTGACTGGGGTTAACAGGCTGTTTCAGCTATTCTAGCCTGACAGCTTTTTGTGCCACAGTTCCAAAATTCAGTTGTTCTATATAGAAATTTTATCCAAATGCTTTAAATTACCACCCACAGATAAGGTCATATAAATAAATAGAATAAATATATCACACACTGATCTCTTCTCTCTGGTGATCAGTGACAGGGCCTGAGGGAATGACTTGAAGCTGTGTCAGAGAAGGTTAGGTTGGATATTAGGTAAAGGTTCAGCCACCCCAGAGGGTGGTTGGGCACTAAACAGGCTCCCCAGGTAATGATCACAGCAGCAGCCTGACAGAACTCAAGCTTTTGGACAACACTCTCAGGCACAGGGTGGGGTTCTTGGGTTGCTATTGGGTTGCTATTGCTGTCCACCACAATCCTGGTGGATCCCTTCCAGCTCAGGATGTTCTGTGATTTTATGATTAAATAATGTCGTGAAGGCCAGTTGTAAGTTATATAATATTTTCATCTTTTGCTTTGTGATTGGCAGTAGAAATGGGCACATTTGGTGATATACTCTAAGAACCCAAATAGCAAATAGGAATTCAGCCAACAGTTTTTAATAAAACTTACTCTAAAGACAGTTGAATAATAAGGAAGTTGTTTTCTTTGGGAACATCAAACAAACCTGAGGAACTTTAAGAAGTTTGCAGTTCAGATTTAAAATTCTGTCTGTTTGAAACTTGGCTTAAAGGTTAGAGGGTTTGGTTTTCTTTTTGGCTTGTTTTACTCTCCTGAGATTTCATAATTTTTCTGAGGAAGCAGTGCATTGCAGTTATTTATGGGTATTACTGCCTTTGCTAGGATAGAACCGAAAAAAAGAGAAAACCTTAATGAAGAGACAATTAACCATGTGCCATGACTGTTTTGGGTCTGTTTTGTTGGTACTTGCCTTCTTCTATAAGTGAGAATGTGTTTGCATTCTGTTCAAGCAATTTCCTTTGCATTGTTAGCTGTAAGTGGCTCTTGAGGCGTCTTCCAAGGCTAATTGGTTCTGAAAAACAGTGTAACAAGTTTTCAGTTGCAATGAAAATACATTTTGACAAACTGACTTTATTTGAGGAGCCTGTTACTGTTCCATCATGCAGAGATAAACTGAAGTATTTGACAACTACATTTATCCCGTGCTGTAATTAATGGTGCTGTCATTTCTCCCTGACCCCAGGAAATGATGTATATCTGGAATGGCTATGCTGTAATTGGAAAATGTCCCAACTTAACAGAAGGCATGTTAGAGACTTTAAATGAAGCAGAAGAAGCATTGGCAAGAAGTTCAGGTAACCAGTGATAGGGTTTAAGCAGTTACTGTACACTGCAATAGCTAGAGATATTATCTGTGAATAGAGACACACTCATTAGTAAAGTTAATTGGGTCACAGGAGGAACATAGATAATGAAACCATAAACTGTTTATGCAGATAGGAATATTTTTTATTTTTAATGTAGCAAGTATTTACAGTAATAGTAAATGATTTTTCCATCCACAGGTGTGTGTTAGGAATGGTTTATGACATGTGATAAAGGTCTGTTTATTTTGTTAGAACAACATCAGCATATTCATTGACTTCATTACTTGGATCCTGAAGCTTTGTTGCCCTCATATTTTGTTACCCTCAATTTTGAAGGATAAATAGGAGAGGAGTTGAGGTTTTTTTTTAGAAGTGCTGTCAGTTTGTGCATGACCTTTGAGCTGAATGTTCTGGTGTCACCAGTGTGCTGCAGAAATGCAGGACACCAGGGATGGCCTTTCTGTCAATGAGCACAATATGGGATTGAACTGAAACTGCCTCTGCTACCACATTTTCTGTCAGTCTCTTAATTAGCCATCCATGAGAAAATTGAATTGGTGTTTATTTCTTGTCAGTCTTTCCCAGTTCTTGCAGGAGTGCAAGCAGTCTGCACTGCACTTGTCAGTTTTTCCTTGACCAATATTTGATCCTACTACTATTACATACAACCTTCCTGCAAAAGGATCAAGCCCCTGTTGACAAAGGAATATAGGCTAAAACACTGCATTGCAGTCTTTTCTAGGGCCTTGGATTTCTGTGCAGTGAGTTACACAAGATTTGAAAGGGTTGCCTGATAGACTGGCTAAAGTTATCTATATTTAATTAATTGAAAAAGAGAATGAAGAGAAGGGGAAAATATTTTCAGTGAAGGTGACATCTTAGAAAAAGTCCTTTGACCTATTCACCTTCTTTGTCACACATTTTGTTTCATCATTTAAAATAAGTGAAGTATTTCCCTGTTCCCTTTTTTTTTCTTAGTAGGCAAGTTGTGGCTAAGGCTGCATTTTGCAGGGATTTGTAGCAGATTCATGTTTGTAGAAGACTATGAGGACATATAATTGAAAAGTGGGGTATATTTTAAACATGCCAACAATTTAAAGTGTTGCCTGTTCAAAATATTGACTTGCTCTTTTCAGGCATATTTAATGAATTGGAAATGAGCAACCAAGCTGAATATTTTGCCTGTGAACATTTAAGTGTAAGCTGCCTGTATGGATTGGCTATGAAAAATCCAGCAGTTTTTTTGATGCATATTATGCATAAATTTTCTGATGGAGAAAGAGTGTTGATAGTAAGGATTTTGAACTAGGTGAAGCTGGTAAGACTCTAGGCTCTCAGAAGTATAGACTCCAAAGAAGGTATGGTAAGATGTGATGTACAGGTAGCAAAGTTTCACCTATTTTTATTTAGCCAAATGAAGGTGGAGAATTGACAAAATTCTTGCCCATGAATAGGTCCTGTCAAGTCAGGAAGCAAAAGAACTGTACAGGGAAATAAAGGCAAAGGGCTGAGAGATTGTAAATTGGACTTCAGTATTTACAAAATGGACACCTTAAATTATTTCTTAGGTGTCAGAGCAGTAAGATTGTGGAATAGCTGTTCAGTGGGAGTAGGGAGGGAAAGAACAGCCCAACAACTTTTGGACAAAGTTCAATCAATTTATGAAAAGGTTGACATGTGTTTGTCTCTGCATTAACTTAAATTCACCATCTTTTTTTTTCCTATGTTTCAGTAGATAAACTGTACTCACACTTACCTTCAAAAAGTTTCCCTACAGGCAGGAAAGTCTGTTGTAGAGTTTTCTAAAATGTGCTGTTTACTTCCTGCTTCAGCAACAGAACTACTGGCAGATGACCGGTGTGTGATCAAGCTGTTAAAGGGATTATGCTTCAAGCATTTGGGCAAGATCTCAGAAGCAGAAGACCACTTTAATTACATCTATTTAAAGTAAGTTTTCATACCTGGCATGTAGGAGAGCTCTTGAGTTTCAAGTAAGAGGAGATGCAACCATGATAGGAATAGAAGGGAGAGGATTGCAGTATCTTTAGTGTTTGCTTCAAGGTATTTAAATTTTAATTTCCACTGTTATTAGCCATGTGTTGAAGAATATAAAATCTTCTGGTTTTATTTTATTTTTAAATAATTTTTGAAGTATTTTCTCCTTTTTGGAGGACTGTAGGTGCACACAATTTTTCAGATACCACTTAGCTTTTATTGCCCCCTTCCTCTTCCCAGTTAAGAAGAGGCTGTACCCAAAAATACAAATGCACTCTGCAGAGACAGGTGGGAGCATGATTACACTGGGACCTTCTGCACATGATGTGGTGAATGACACCTCTTTTTGTCAGCTCACATGGATAGAGCTCATGATATTGTCATCTTTTCTGACATCTCCCTGATAATAAAGGCATTATTTTCTAATCCTGAGATTATACATACTGTGTAGGATGCTTATGCAAAATACACATTTAATAACCCAGAAGGAATCTTTGGATAGAGAACATGACAAGTGTTGTAATAGAGATTGATTGCTCCTTCTGATCTTAGCTAATCTCCTATTTATTTGTGTTTGGAGCTGTTAAATGAGGGAAACAATATATCATTTCAAGGTCTCTAGGCTATTTCTTTTCCAATGCAGTGAGAAGAAGATAAAATATGACCATTATCTAATTCCAAATGCCTTGCTGGAGCTGGCAATACTGTATCTGGACCAGGATAGAAGAGAAGAAGCAATAAAACTTCTGGAAAAAGCAAAGTAAGTGAAAAGGCTGTGTTGGTGTCTGATGGATCAGTTTGGTGTTTTACTGGTTAGCAGGATGCAGAATAATTTCATTAATATAATGGAGACTCTTTTTTTTTTTCCAACGGGACCATGCATGCCTTAGTTTTGGTTTGGACCTATCCAGTGGTAGGTGTTGCTTTTGTCCAGTCTTGGACTTGAAAAGAGAGCCAAAAAAAAAAAGTATCTTAATAGGACTGTCAAAGGCTTCCGTAAGAAATAATCCATGTGTAACAAAATGTAATAATCCTTGTAGTCTATTTGCTTATTCATATAAAGGATGTATTAAATTTAATCAAAGCTCTGTGTTATGGCTAAAATAGCATTACTTAAATTGATGGCCAGCACTGCCTGTTTCTTTTCTTGATGAAATACATTTAAGATAACACTTCACATTACACTTGGTGTCTTTGTATTGTTTCACCTGCATCAAGGCAACTAAAACACCTGCTTTTACTGTTTTGTGTGATTGATTTTTCTAGCAAAGTAGGTTTATGGGAAGTTGGACTTGATAATATGTGTTCTTTATTATAAAATTAACAAAATACAGGTTTTGTCTCTGTTTGAACTTCTATTTCTCTGCTGAACCAAAATTCTGGCAGTGGTGGGGAGGAAGGAAATCCAACCCAAACAACTCTCCCTCCTCCTCAAGCATCCAGCAGCAGCAGGGTAGTTCACCTTTGCCTGGGTCCTGAATGACTCCAGATGTGCAGAGTCACTGCCACAGGTGTGAGCAGTGACAAAACTGATGCCTGCCCCTGGATCAGAGGGTCAGATAGAGTTTTTATGTTGCTTTTTGTCCAAGTCAGGCAACTCTGCAAGGCAGAGTAGCAAATCAAGCCTAGCAAAGGTTATGCCAAAAGCCTGTCAGCACAAAAATTAAAATATTGCAATCTTTAATCTCCTGTGCTTCTGAGCCTCATTCTCTGTAGACTCATGGAAGATACTAAGAGCAACAAAAATTGCATTAGCAAAGTGTGGTGGAAAGTGTTTCAGTTGGCTTCATGTTCCTCAAAACACACCTCTCCTGTCCTCATTTCTTTTATTCAAATCTCTCTTAACAAGAGATCTAGAAATGAATGATTTGGAGCTGCTGATTCCAGCTGGAACTTCTGTCATTGCTGCTTGGCCTGGCAGTTTTGAGTGTCTTGGGTCCCCTCAGGAGAAGATGTTTGGTTTAACAGACAGCAGCTCTGAGAAATGTGCTGTGCCCAGTGTATGAAAGCTGCTACTCAGACTTGCTGTGCTCAAAGAACTCTTGTAAACTGTAATGACTGAAAAAAAAACAAACCTGAACCAACCAAAAAAAAATCCCAAAAAGCACCAACCCCACCCTCATTCTAAACCCCATTGTTTCAGTCAGTCATAAATAAAGGTGCAGCTCTTACATTTCCACCTGTGGCATTAAAATGCTCTGGGTTTATGAGCTTTCAGCTACCAACTCTGAATGTCTCAGCAGCCATGAGAGGGAGGGCAGAGCCTTGGTGGGGCTGCAGAATTCAGTTTGCAGTTGGCAGGCGCGCAGGCGAGTGCTTGGCTGGTGCGTGACATTTGATTTGCCTGACCTAAATCCACGTCCTGCTGCTGGCTTGGATCCTCAGCTCTGCGAGAAGGAGTGGGACAAGATGATAAACAGTTTTGGCTTGGTCATGCACTGAAATATTTCTATTTGTATGATTGTAAACTACAAACAAGAATATCAGTGTACTCATGAGAAATACAGGCTTGGCATGACAAAATCCATTTCATTTAAAGGAAAAACTCCAAGGGATTTCAGATCAGCACACAGCAGAACCTGGCCACCTCATTTTCTCAGTCAGCCTCTTGGGTGTTGCATACATAAAATTATAAGCTGGTGTAGGATGGGCATGGAATTCCTTGTTTTCACCAAGAGACTGGCACTGCCACAGACAGATACCACGCTGCAATGGTTACTTTGAATTATGAATTTAGAACTTAAATGCTGTTAAGATACACAGAGTTTAATCCTTAATGTTATGTTTCTGTAAAGATGACAAATAACTTCTATGAGAAAATTAGCATGGTGTAATCCTGTTTTGTATCTGGATTCTGTATCCATGTTGTAGGAGCTGACATGTTAATTCCTACTAAGTAGGATCTGCAATTTCTATGTGGTCCTGGGGCAAATTTTCTTTTTTTTTAATATAAGCTTTTCCATGAAAATGCAGGTTCTTTGAATCTTCCAGTAACTCTTTAGAGCATGAAAGAACTACTGGAAACTATAGGCAGATGACAGTGTGGAGCTAAGTACTAGATGTGTGTGGTGGAAATCCTGCCAGTCTTTTCCTAGGATGGTGAATTGTTCCTCAAAAGCTGATATGGAATCTGGTGTGTGCCCACTTTCTCTTTCCACACTCTGGAGCAGCAGCTTTTCTGCCTTCATTTCCTACACACAGAAATCACATTGTTGGCAACCATAGGATGGAGATGGGTTGTTTCCCTCCTCTGGGTCAGGACAGCTTTCCTTCTCTCTCTCTCTTTTTTCTTTTTTTTTTCTCCTCTCGCCTTACTTTCTTGAAATGAGTATGCCTTATTAAAATATTTTTTTTTAAATGATGAAAATATTTGTATTCAGAGCTGTCAGTTACACTTTGAGAGGGAGAAAAATTTTTCTAATTTCTGAATGTAAACTAAGTGGATGTTACAGATAATTAATATAGACTCAATATTTTGATTGAGTGGACCAGATTCAATTTCTTACTAAGCTATATTTTTCTGGTAATTGCCAGACAGTGGAACTACAAATAAAGAACAAAGAGTTGCATTGTTTGGCCAGCAGCACATGCCTTGTATTTTAGAGTAGGCAACAAAGGAGCTTGTGAAGAAAGAATTTTTTGCTACTGTTGTTTTCCTTAAAACAGTAATACAAAGATAACTTAGAAAGGTTTTTAAAATATATAATAATTGGAGTGAGTCTTCTTTTGTTTCAGACAAAACTACAAGAATTACTCCATGGAAACAAGGACACATTTCAGAATTCAAGCTGCCCTTCACCAAGCCAAATCCGCCCCAGAAAATGGAATGCACTGTGGAGCCTCGGCAGTATCGTAACTTTTTCTTCTTTGATGTTCTGTTTGTTGCAAACTTTGGTGCAGAAAATTACTGACACTTTAGAATTATTTTTCCTTCTCTTTCAAGTCAGTGAAAAACCAAATAACTTAAAGTTTCAAACGTGATGCATAAAACATTAATCTAGTGTAATAACATGGCAAAAAAATCTCTCAAACCAACCATAACCTTGAAAAATATTGTTTTTCCAACAGTGTTTTTTTGACACTTACACACACCTACATCTGTGCAATTCATTTTTCAATTGTGTGCCTTTTTCTTGCATTCACAACATTATGTTGTAGCTTGCTTAGTGAAAGGGGAACATTTGAAAAGAAAACAAACAGCAAAACTTTAAGATGTCCAGATTTAATCTCAGTTAGTTCTGAATGTTTTTTTGGATCCATACTGCTAGCAGCTGAGAAGGAAGCATTGCTTTTTCCCAGTGCCCACTTAGTTGGAATGGTGGGAGAAAATCTCACAGCAGGGAGGAGCTCTGGATCCTGGGCACATCTAGTTGTGCACAGAAAGCTTCTCTTTACCAGCTCCTACCAGTCACATTTTTGCTTCTGTAAGAACCCTGCTGGTGAAAAGAATGGTCTCCCTTATGCAAGTACCTTGACTTTTTCTTTAGTTTGGTTTTCCTGTCAAGTCTGCTGCTTGTAGCAGCTGAATTAATTTGCTGAGGATTGCAGGGGGAAAGGTGGTGATGGCATAAAACTGCATCACTTCTTCTTTGACAGTGGGAGTTCTTAGGAAATGTCTTTTGTCAGATGAACATGATCTGAAGCTTATGTCAAATTGAAAGCACAAGTCCTCGAAGGTCATTTAGGAAATGGCAACACTGCAGTGGCTGGAGCAATACAGGAGTTACTGTGACAGTGCAGCCCTTCCTGCAGTGACTGCTCTTAGGATTCCCAAGCTGCGATGTCCCTGTTGCACAAGGCTGATGTTCCCTGTGGGAGGAAGCTGGGGCTGGAGCAGGCTCCCTCAGCACAAAGGACAGCCCTTTATCCTTCTGCTCTTTATGGATCTTTTGGGAAATTTTCTGTGTAAGGGGCTTTGAGAATAGAGCAGTGAGCTGGGTCTGCTTTCCAATGCTGCCATGGAGTTCCTGCTTTGCTGGAAAACTGGTGAAGTGAGTGGTGCCACAGCTTTGCCTTGTGTTTGCTGTTCTCCAGCCTAGCTCCATGTCTGTATGCCTCTGGGGTTTTGGGACACACTTCTACCTCCCTTTTGAAAGAGCTTCTTCCCCATTACCCATTCTGATGGGTGGAGATGGGAGGTCTTCTGACAGCCCTTTTTCTCCAATGGAGACGTTTGTCAGGAGGATTCATATCTATGTACCTCACAGTGCATATCCTTTCTAAAGTGATTGTTCCCAGCAGAAGAGAAAATTGACAGTTTATAGCTCTGCATTTGCCTCCTCAAAGGAAATAAAATTGTTTTATAACTGTAGATTAATATGCAAGGAGACAGAACCACCAGTTGCTCAACACGAGGAACTTGCATTGTCTTAAAAATAGATGCCCTTTATAAAAGTCTTTGCAAGTTAAAAATCACAGAAAAAAGAATGCATTTTTTAAAGTAACTTTCTCAGATAAATTAAGTTCTGATAAATTTCTTGATTCAGATAAAATTCAGTATAAACAGTTATGCTATTTACATGCTGCACATTAAAACTTCAGTGTAAAAATTCAGTCATTCTTTGTATAGAATAAAAAAAATTTCTTGTTCTACTTCATGCATATAACGCCTCTTCTTCCAGTTGTGTCCTTTTCAAATATTTTGGCAGCCTTAGCATCTTTTAAACAGTAATTCTATGTGAAAATTAGCATATATTGTACTTTGCAGAAAGTGAACAATCCTGAGTATAGATTCATTTCTCATCTTTGAAATTTCACTCACAACTTGGTTTTGCTTGATCTTACATCACAAAAGGATGTACTATGTGATACTCAGACAGCTTCCCTGATGCTTTGCAGCAATGATAATCCTAACATTTTCCTAAGGTTTTCATAACCTTCCTAAGATTTTCAGAGTCATCTTTACTCAAACACCAGCACCAGTCACACTGTGGGCCTGATCTCCACCTTCAGCTGAGTGCTTTGCAGTTCACTGTGGTATTTCACTCTGACCCCTTGGCTCCCAAGCCATAGCAAATAATCACCTTCCTGGTACAATGAGGATTTATGGTCTGTAATAATATGGATTCACTTGAGGAGAAGATGAGTGGAAGGTCTGATACATTGTCATTGTGTAAGTTTTTTGATGTGTTACATTTGCAATTGCCCAACATCACTCTGCTCATCAGTTCCTTCATTTTGGTGCTCCTCTGTGGCAGGGATCCAAACTCCTTGGGGTCAGGCTGGGATGGAAGGTTGATGCTGGGCTGGTTTTTCCATTGCTCCTCCAGCAGTGCTGAGTGGTGCCCGGAGCAGCTCTGCAGGAGAGTAAATTGCTTCATCAGTCTGGAGTCCCAAATGCAGTGAATCAGGGGAAGCACAAAGGTGTGAGTTCTCCCCTCAGGGTGCTCAGCAGAAAATAGCAGATACTGTCATTGAATTGCACATCAGAGACTGAAGCATAGCCCAAGATTCAGGAAATGGAAGTATGACTGCAGAAGGATATATCCACACCTCAACTGCAGAAGGAGCAGTTCCTTCTGCATTCAAACACTGAAATGTCTGAGCAATGCTTGAGAAACCCACTCTGTGCACCAGCCTTAGCCAGCAATGCTGCAATCAGCTCTTCCCCACCCTCAGACAGAAGAAAAGTTTTCTGCACTTGGTATGACCTTTATCATAAACCTCACAAACTTCATTTCTTCTTCGATGTATTTTTTTTTTTTTAACTAGGAAATGTTTTCCTGCCAGTAACCACGGAGAGGTAGAAACTCCTACTCAGTTTCCTGGATGTCTGCAGCAGCAGCTGTGGTGCCCCATGGGACAATGCTGTCACCTGAAAGTGGTGCTGGCAGGAAGGGCAAGGCAGTAAAAGGGGCATCCCTTTTATCATGAGCTCTGTGATGTGGAATCCCTGTGTGAAAGGTCTCTCAGTGAACTGGGGGAGGAGAGGGCTGAAGAGCCAGCAGCTCCTGCTGAGCTCTGGTCAGGTGCAACTGCATCAGCCCCCAGCTCCTGTGAGTAACATGAGATGAGATGCAAACTGTTGGGTGAAGGATGCTGGAGCTGGACCTGGGCACAGCTTTTCTGGGTGGTTAGAAGAGAATTTGATGATGTCACAGCCATGCTACTGTGATCTGGAAACACACAATTAAGATTGCTCAACTCTACCTGTGTCATAGGAGCCTGCTTTGCTTACTGACTGGCTGTTCAGTTGCCAGCTGACACGTGCCATCAGGGATGGGTGGTTTAGGGACTGTCCCCTTCTGACTGTGCCTGCCCTTGGGCTGTTTACTCCTCAAAGCTTGGCTTAGGAAACAGCATTTTATGAAATACAGCAGCATAGAACAGGATCATATCAAACATTTCCTCCCATTTCACACTGGTTTTGGCATTAAATTCTGTATTGAGTGCTTTAATATTTTTAGTTATCTGTGGCTTGGGTCCAAGACTAAAAGCTCACAGGCTGACAGCTTGTGTTCCTCTGGCCCAACAAAGGCACCAAGTAATGTTTCTCCACGTGAGACAAGGCTTTCCTACAGGTCAGTCCCAGAATGCAAAAAGCACTCCCAGGAGTTTAAATAGAATACTCAGCCTCCAGTTCCACTTGCAAGATGCATTTCTTTGCCTTCTCAAGCATAAAAACAAAGCAAATGTGTATGAAATGACCGAAACAACGCATTCAACACTGTTCCCCCTCTGGGAGGAAGGGGAGAAGATAAAGAGGTGAGTCATGTTGTTTACTGCTCTACAGGAAAATGGGTAATGGTTGGCAACATCACTGATGAATGAGATTGGGCAACCTGAACAGACTAGAAAAAAACTTGCTTCTTTTCTCATTATGTTCTGCAAATACATTTTGGTGGCAGGTGATGTGCAAAGCGTGTACCAGCAAGTGTTTTAATTGAATGATTTGTCATCATAGAATATTTTTTAAAGATGCTATCTAGGCTTGCTTCAGGTGTTTAAAAAAAAATCCAAATACTTGCTTTTAAGGACATGCCCAGTCAATCCCTGTCTCCAAGATTTATGAATAGCAACAGAGCTAATAAATACCTGCATTGCACTGTGGTAAGGTTCTGCATAGTGTTTGCTCAAATTCAGTCATGACACTGTAGGACTGGGCTTTACTCCATTATTTTCTGTGTTTTTTTTAAACCTCTGGACCTACTTATTTTCATTGCTGACTAAGCATAGGCAAAATGTTTATTTAGAATTATGCATTGCAGGGAAATCTACTTGCTTTCTCTCTCCTTGGCTGTTTTACAGGAAGAATACAAAACAGATCAGTCATAACCCCCTGCATGCTTTTTATGGGTTGATTCAATTTTTAAAAAGGCAAAGAAAAGTTCATCTTGTGCTAGCAAAGTGCAGGAACAGCAGTTTCAGGCCTGTGGCCTAAAAGTATTGATGTGGTGGAAAGAGAAGATAGGCAGAAGCTGCAATACTCTGGATGGTTCTCCTCTTGCTATTCCTTTCATCCCGCAGCGCACAGGGTGTGAAGGTAAGAACAGCATCCTTGGTGCTGGAGCTGTGTGGGATGTTTGTGTGCAGTGCTGGAGCCTGGAGCCGTGCTTGGTGTCAGCTGTGTCACAGGGGCAGTCCCAGGAGGAGCTGGTGCTTGGGAATGCTTTCCCTGATGTTCTGGGGAAGGTGCCCATGTGAGATGCCTGCAGCTGCCTCTGCTCTGCAGATGTGGAACAGGAACTGTATCTCAGTAGAGTTCAGTAACTCATTCTGGGGAGTGAAGCAAGGCTGTTAACTCCAGAGGATCCTAGAATTACATAGCTCATGTTCAGTGTCATCTTCGTCTGGGTACAGTACCCAGCACTGCTCTCACCACCACTAGGTTGTGCAGCTGCAGAGGTTTTTAGATGCAAAGGTCAGGGCCAGTTACAGTTTTGATATTTCAGTCACAGATACAATATCAGGTTGGAAGGGACCTCAAGGATCATCTGGCCCAACCTTTCTTGCCAAAAGCAGATGCTAGGCAAGGTGGCATCCTGTCCAGCTGAATCTTAGAAGTATCCAATGTTGAGAGATCTAACATTGTCTGGGAGATTATTCCAATGACTGATGCAATTGTGGAAAATGTGGTTTGTCTTTCATTCTTAGGGCTTGTGGATACTGAAGTCAGGTTTCCGTTCTGTGATGCTGGCTGGGCTCATCACTGATGCAAATATATGTTGGTATTTCTAAGGAACAGCAGGAATTCCATGCACAGTGTCTTTGCTACAGCTCTGTTGTCTGATTTGTCACACACACACATACATAAAGAAAAGCATATATAAATATACATAAAACATCAATGTATGTATGTATACTCACACACAGTGGTAACAGGTTCTGGAGCCAAAGCTTTTTGAAAAGTTACCAGAACTGCTTGAACTATTTATTAAATAGTTCAAGGACTTAAAAAAGGCAAGGTACTTTAAGACAGCTTTGGTGATGGCTGAGGAAAATGCAGAGGTTAAGGGCTTTTACTAATGGCTTGCAGCAGGATCACACTGCAGGACTGCACAGTTTGCAGCCTTCTAGAAGACGAAATCCCAAGTCAAACCGGCAGTCTAGCAAGAGCCCTTCAGTGGTGTAACCTCACAAAAATGCAGTTTTATGCTCTAGATTTGAAGGGCATCAGTTTTCAGTCTGGACTAGCAGAGCTCTGCCTCAGTGGGATAGGGCCTGGGATGGCTCTGTCCTGCTCAGAAAAAAATCTGGGAGTGATTCATCCTTTTCCCCCTTGAATTCTTGTCTTGACTGCCTTCCTCAATCTGCTTCCCCAGCATGAATCCTGGATTATACAGGCAGCTCCTGATAATGTGGCAGAAGTGTGGGCAAGAGGCTGAAAAGGTGAGGTTTGTCTGTCATGGTGCAGTGAGAGCCCTGGCAAAAGGGCAGCCAGGGAGGGGAGTGAGGCTGAGAGAGTGCTCAGTGCGGGCAGCCAGCGATGAATCCAACATTTACTGCTGTGTGCAGAGCTCTTGAAATGCCTTCTTGCAAAGAAAGACAAATGTTTCATAAGGGTTGGTGCTGCAAAGAGCAGGTTTATTAAGTTTCTGCTGCTTGTTTTCCAGCTGGGAGGACAGAGGAGGGCTGGGGGCTCTCTGTGCACGCTCTGTGGCTGGGCCCCTCTTGCTGAGTAAGCAAATACCTCGGGCTGTGGGAACACAGAAAGGGCTCTGCACAAAGAATTTCTTCATTATAAACTCCTCTCTGCAGCTTTTACTTAGCAAAGTGTCAGAGCAGAGTGGATGTTGTAATGAATCAGTTGCTAGCGTGAAAATACGGTTATTTCTTCTGCTTAAATCAAAAAGATGCTTTAGCAGAGTGCATTTAGACTGTTCTCTTTATCACAAAGCATTAACTTTGCATTTCATACCAAGAATTCCAAAGCCCCAAACTCTTATCCCAGAACAGGTTTAAATGCAAGACAATCTGCAAAGGATGGTTAGCATAAATTATATTCTTCAAAGTTAAATGCTATATAAAAGGAAAAGTTAATCCTTGAAGCTGATTTTTATTCTGGGTATTAAGTCAAGAAGGGTACTTCTGAACAGATTTTATTCATGTGTTTTATAGGCTGTCAACTAGAATGTATGTTTTTAATAAAAATGTGGTATCTGTAACAAACTGTGTTTGCAGTCAGCCAGCATCCACATTTTTTCCTGAGTCCTTTTAATCCAGGCTTTAACTGCTGAGAGACCCTGTATGTTTCGTTTCAGCCATCTTGTTATTTATTTCACTGACAGTCTGACTCAAAAGAATTTTCATCTTTACCACGATTGCACAAGGACAGGAAATGTTGAAGTCCTGAAACTGTGGCAACTGAAGTAAATTCAGGTATTTCATAATCCCTCAGCCCAGAAATGTACCCTTCTGTCAGGGAAGACTGCCAGCCTTCCAAACACAGAACTACTTTCAGCCCTGGGAAGCTGCAAGACCTAAGAGCTTTTAAATATGTGGCTCGTGTTCCTTAGAAAGAAATGCTCTGGGCTGGGTTTGTTTATATATGATTCTCCCCCAGATTTACATAATGAACTGACAACAAGTAATAAAGATTACCATCCTTAGATGTAAAATTATTGAAGTGGTAATTCTTGCAGTATGCAAGAATTTTTAAGCATGAAGGTCTGTACAAAACTGAATATTCCTTACTTGTCATTACATCTCTGGCTTCAGGTTTGTGGGAGTTTCTTTCTCATGCAGGAGAAAAAACCCATTTCCTGCTCTAATCTGCAAGTGGACCCCAGGCACATCCTTGCTGTGCCTCCTTTGTGCAGGTGTGCTCCCTCCCAGTGCAGGGACAGCAGGGATGTGGGGCATGTGGGTTTGACACCCCTGTCCCTTGTGCTGCTGGAATGGAGCCTGCTGAGCCCTCAGCCCCGCTGGGTCTGTGCCAGGGCTGCTGTGCCACTGCCAGCTCCAAGTTACAAGTGCCATCACTGCTCTCAGTGTTTCCATCACACTGCACAGGCCCCATGAAAATGCTCCAAAGCACCAGCTCTTGAGGGCTGTCGAGCACCGCCAAACTCAGCTCCTTGCACACAGTGGCTGGAAGAGGCTTTTTTGTTTGTTTTTTCCTTCAAACTGCTTTGCAGACATTTTTCTATGGGCCTGCCCACCCTGGCATAAGAAGGACTTTGGGTGAGCAGGTCCAGGTGAGTCAGAGCCAATTCCCTCCCCTCACTCAGCTGCAGGAGACTCCAGCTGGGAACAGCCTTAATGTGTTTGAAGTGCAAGTAATTGTTAGACACTTCTAGGACAAGAGGTAAATGTATCTTCATCTTAGAGATGGTAGAAATAAGACACAGATCTGGGTCCACAACTAGCTAAAATTCAGGTTATACGTTTTTTTTGCATTAAATTTAAATCAATTCTTCTTTGCATTTGAATTAGAAATCACCCAGAACAGTATTGTACCTAAAAACTTGAAAAATAATTTGATTTATTTGTTATATTTACACATTTGTCTTTAAGCTAAAATTTGAACTTTTTTCTAATGGTCTTGTGTCATCAGCTCCAGTTTTAGCCCTTCACATCTTTTTGCTATTTAGTAAGTATTTTAATAGAAGTAATTTCTTCTCTTAGCCCAGTCAGTATCAGTGTTAAAAGTTCAGCTGCTCAGGTGTCAGCTGCCAAGGAAAGCATTCAGCTTAGTAACCCATCACTTCCTACTTCTTTTAAATCTTTCTTAATGAGGTTTTGTAATAAATAAAGATTAATACCACCATGACAACACTGTTTTTTTCAAATTGTTCATTTGCCAGTTTTAACAAGATAAAGAAATGAATACTTAATGTGGACATTGTTTTACCAAAAAAAAAAAAAAAAAAAAAAACCCCAACCCCTGAAACAAACAGACAAAAAGGAAGACACAAAGGAACACACATGGAATGATGAAAAGGAACAATGATATTGCACAACTTCAGGTCTCCCCAGATTTTGATCCATGTAATTAGGTATGTATGAATTCAGCAAAACGTGTCCAGATAAATGTGTGGCCATTTGAGTGAATCTAGAACTGCAGAATGTTTTCAGTTCCTTTTGACTGCTCCTTGGAGTTCTTCTCTAAGGGAGCAGGGTGCTGTCAGCTGCAGGAATAACAAACAAATGTCGACTCTCCATTGTGCTGACCAGTTATCCATAACCCACAGAATTACAATTCTCCTCTACTGTAAATGCACTAAGTCCTCAAAGGACCTGGGTCTTTAAACACAACTTCTTGTATCAAGAACTCAAACTACATCTGAAACACAATCAGAGAATATCCCCCAATTTGCTGTGGTTAACTTGAGACTGTGTTTCATTTCATGAGACCAGGGCTTCTCACTGTGTCAGGGTGGCACTGGATGCACAGAAGTCACAGTCAAGGGAGTGGGGAAGAAGAAAAAAGGAGAAAATCATGCTAAGTGGGAAAAGTCCTTTAGCGCTACAATCTTTGCTGGAAACTATCTTAACAAGCATATACTGTTTGCTACAGAAATCAGGGAATTGTGTCATTCTGGCTATAGCAGTACTGTTTGCCCCTCCACTGCTACCCTGACACTCTCTGTTTATATAAACTTTGCATTTATGTGCAGAACAAAGTCTATTTTTCTCCTCTCTCCATTCATTCCTGTTTGGTGGACTGATGTGCCAGCCAGCAGGGCTCAACAGATACATTTAATACAGGAGACTGAGATACAGTATGTTTATTCTTAACTTCTGATAACCTAAGAACTACAAGAACGAGAGATGCAGTATCCATTTGCTATTATCCAAGACAACCATTTTAGGGAGAAAAAAATAGAATAAGTGATCAATGCTAACACTACATTAGTTCCAGATTTTTTTTTTTTTCAGTTATGGCAGCTTAACTATTTATTGTTCATCTGGCCCACTTTTAATCTGATCAAGTTAAAGGTCATATATTAAAGGACTGTTATTTCATCGAAACCGAAGGAAGTTATAAAAAAAAACCCCATGAAACCACAGTTTCACTGCAGGACTTGTGTCATATCTTCATAATCTGTATCACTTGTAGAAAAGGGATAATGCATCTCAGTTTGCTTATAAGCTTGGAGATCACTTTGAAGTCTGCATATTCCTAACTGCAAACAAAATATAGCACTTTTAACAGGTTATAAATAAACTGGTTTTCAAGCATAGAGCCAGCCCAACAATAACAATACACTATTAAAAAGACCTAAGGCAATGAATTCCATCTCCAGTGGGAAAAAAAAAAAAAAAGAAGAAGAAAAAGAACTGTGCAAACAAGCTTAAAACTATTTCTTTGTGCCAGTGTTATAAAATGTAGATTTCAATAAAGCCTTGACCCAAATGCCAGGACTTGTGAAAAGAATCAGAACAAAACTGGTTACTTTATTTAGGAAAAAAATACTCTTATCTTGCTGCTAATAAAATCGGATACACGCAGTTTAAACATTTACAGTTGCTGTAACACTTTACACAATTCCTATATATGGGTGTAAGAACAAACATTAAAAGACAATGGTGGGTCAAGGCTTTACATTAAAAATAACAACCTACTTTTCTATAATCTCTAAAATACTATGTTTTCCAATATTTGCAGCCATTCAGGAATATTTTTTTATTTATTTATTAGGAAATGTATACTTTGTGCATGATCTTAATTCCTAATTCCTGGCTCTTTGGGCTGAATGACAAAAGGATCAAACCCATTGAAGTGGATGGTCTCCTCGAAGGTTCAGTAGAGAAACCCTGGCTCAGTTAGTCTCATATGATGAAAGCAGTGCTGCATCCACTGGCTCCATGCAGGATGGACAGGTAAAGGATCTCATCAACCAGTCATCTATACAGTCCAGGTGGTAAATATGCATGCACGGCAGAAATCGGATAGGGTCCCCATAAACAAAGTCCATCATACAAATGACACACCTGGAAGGGGAAAAATAAAGTATTAAGCTCACTGTTGCCAATCTGGAAATTAAAACCAGTGTAATATCTATTCCTGGATGCTTTTAGTATTTGTAGATACTGTGAGGAGAAGCCTTGTGTAAGATAAAGGAAAGAGCCTCAAATGGATGGAGTGGTTTGGGTTAAAGGGACCGTGAAGCCCACGGAATTCCAACCCCCTGCCCATGGCAGGGATGCTACTCACCACATCAGCCTTCTGCAGGACTTTATTTTTTTTTAAATAAGGCAAACCAGGTGACAAGGTCAGGTTTCCCAGGGTAGCATCCCAAACCAAGGCAACAGCCAATCCCTTCCACTCGGGCCCAGGACTTACTCTCGGATCTTCTTCTCGGAGCCGTCCCTGCCGGGGTCGTAGACGCCTTTGGGAAGGTGCTGGATGAGGCCGATGCGCTGCGCGATCCGGATCTGCTCCTCCTCCGTCAGCTGCGTGGCCAGCCGGGTCTGGCTGGGCGTGGGGTGATACACGGGAACAGGAACCTGCTCCTGCAAACAAAATGCTTCCATGAAAAACCACCTCAGAGCTTTCCCAGCCTTCCACAGCACAGGACAATTCACAGTCCTACAAATATTTGTATGAGCTCCCGCTCCTACTTGGCAATTTTGGGGCTATAATTATGAGAACAGGGTAGAGAATTGAGAATTGAGGGCAGTATTGGAACAAGGAGCTGTTCGTGGTTGTTCTCTGCAAAAGCTTTTGATCTCCAGGAGCTGTTCATACAAGAGACATATGGACAAAAAACTCCAGAAGCCAGCAGGCAAATAAACCTTACAGGCACCTGGTGAAATGCTAAGATACAGAACTGAGCACTGTAAGGGCTTAGGGAGAGCCCCAGTATCTGCAACTGAAAGTAGATTCTATGAATTTTATTAATTTTATCTTCTTTTTACGTTCAGGAAGAATTCTTTAGAAAGATGAGAACACTGCTTACTCTCAAAATTTTTAGAGAGGAAGGTTTTACTTATTCTGCAATAATTAACATTTATGTGAACTGCTTTGGGTCAAACAAACTTAAATCTAGAACTGTAGATTTAATTTTCATGTGTTAAAAGGATGTTACCTGGACAGCACAAACAACATAAATAAGTAACCCAAGTTTTATGTTTCTTCTCATCCACTAGTATGACTTACAAGTTCTTCCAAGCTGGATTCAGCTATGGATATGTTCCGGGTATATATTTTCAAAAGAAATACAGGCAACATATAGCTATTATGCAGTCCTTCCTCAACCACATTCTGAGAAGCTTCTTTTGAATATTAATGAACTTTAGATCATATATTTTCACTAACATTTATATTAACATGGTATTTAATTTACTTTCTTTTAAAGCATATTTTGGTACATAAATACCAATTTTGAAGAGGATAATTAGGACAGTATTGGCCAGTAGCCATAAATCTGCTAATAACAGGTAATTTCTTTCAAGACGCTCATTTTAATGGTTCTTCTTAAACAGCAGAAAAAAAATTCAACTTATAAATGTATCTGAAAATAAACCTGCTGCATCAGACACACAATGCACTGAATCATCTGTTTGGCAAATGCCAAATTTGCTGTTTTAGAGGACACTGGTGGAAGCTGAGCCCAGGCAGGTGTGTGCAGCTGAGGCAGCACAGGTCACCTCCCACATGTAACACTGCATTTGTCAAACCCAATAAAGCTCTTCTTCCACTGCCAGGAATCACAACACATGGACTGCCAGCCAGGACTCGTGGAAAACCAGGAAAAACTGTCCCAGGAGTGAGGAGCCTCTCATTGGTGCCACCCATCAGCAGAAGCCCTTGCTCATCAGAAATGCTAATTACAGATACAAGGCTGCCTGGCAATTCACTGAACACAGTGCCTGCCACTGGCAATTCAGCTGTGGGGTAAAATTCACAGTCATCTCTTAATTTAGTTAGCCTAGGATTTCCCCCTCTCGTTTCCTGGCAGAACTCAGAGGAATTATGAGAAGGTTCAAAAGACAGAATGCCAGGGGTTCTCCAAGTGATTAATTTCCTGACTACTCTGAACCATTTTTCACAGAATCACAGAATTCTTTTGGATAAGCTGCCTTTTAGTATTTTAAATTATCTAAAGTATTCTCTAATCATCATTTGGACAGCGAAAAGCACCAGCTGAACCTAGGGCAGGGCTGTCAGATATAACAGTATTCAGAAAGTGACCGCAACCTTTGCTGCCAGCAAAATAAAGCGTTTTCCCCTGACAAAAATGCTGCAGACCCTCTGCACCAAACACTTCAGCTCAAAGCAGAGCCTGGTCCTGGTTTGTGTTTCAAGAACTTAACACCACAAACTATCAGTAATTTTTTTCCCCAGGGTTTTGCTGAACAGGTTACTGAAGCAATAGCAGGATGTTACTGCTACCTCCTTCACTTGTTACACAGACTAGAGAACAAGCAGCATTGGAGAGGGATGTGCCCTCCTTCACATCTAGGAAAAACAGGAGCAGTACCATGAACCACAGGCACAGCACAGGCTGGTGCCAGTGTGGGCAGGAGGAGAGGAGGGATCTCTAATACAGCTCCCCTGGCTGAAGCCATGGCTGCAAGTGATAATGCAGAAATTCAATGAAAGGCAAAAACAGGAGGACAAAAGATAAAAAAAATCCACAAAATGTCTTAAAGTAGCAATGAAAACTGGTGGTGAATGTGTGTAGCAGAACAGCAAACTGATGGCCTCAGCAAAAATGATACAACAAAAGGAAACTACAGGTATGTAAGAATCTGCTCTGAGTTAGAACAGTCACATCTGCACAATTCTGAAGTGAGCAACAGTCACACACTGCCCTGTCAACAACTGCTTTGGGTAAGTTTTGGACAGGAAATAACACAACTTCTAAACCTGTCATATGCCAGACAAGAACAAAAGCTCATTCTCTTGTGACTGACCACTGAGGGATGGACCCTGCAGCTGGAGAAGCCACTTGTGCATTATTGCAGTCCCCTCTTCCCTGCAGAGGGGCTGGAGGCACCCCCGGCCCCCACACAAATGCTTTCCCGGCTGCCAGGCTGGATGGAAACTCCTCCCTTTGGCATCCAGGCTCAGGTTCCCTCCCGGCACAGCCACCCCGGCTGTCTGACACAGCCCATTAAGGCAGGAATTTATTGTCGCCAGCTGGGGGCTTCTACAGTTTCACGTTCTAGACAAGAACCTCTTGTCAGAGGAGTAACTGAGTGAAAATGGTGATGTCTTTCACCACGATGTGCTCGCACTCCTGAATGCAGAGAGCTGGAGTTGGTGTGGCTGTTGTGAGAAATGCAGAACAAATTACTGTAAATAAATCACAGAGACCACTCGATAGCCAGGCACTGAACACCCTGCCTGGTGGCACTTTGATCTCCCCTCCCCACTGCTGCTAAAAGCCTGCCCAAACTGAGCCCTGCACATGAATGTACCAGGGAAAGGAAGGACACAGCCACACACGCTGCAGTGTCACATTATAGGGTACATTGACACCGACCCTTTCAAACCAACCCTGCCCCCTCCAACAGCTAAAAAGAAAAGGTGTGTTCATACCTGCACGATTCTAAACCTATTTGGAACTACTTCTTCATGAGAATCTGAGAGCCCAGGTTTCTCTGACTGCAAAGTGAGGTCCCCAGGTCCCTCAGCAGACCCTGGCCACCCCCGAGTGGAGCTGGGCTCCTGCCCCTGGCAGCCCCCTGGGCACACACCCAGCCTGCCCATGTGGCAGCTGCAGCCCTGCATTTCTCCATACACAAACTCTGCTGCAACTCTGGGACTTAAAACACCCAACAAGAATTCCAAGCTGCTGGTCCCGTGTGGGTTTATCACCCCTTTGCAAATCCCTCACAGTTTATAAAAGCTGCTTTCACTGACCAAGGTCCTGCTCCTCCAGGGTGGGTGTTCAAGGGAACAACTCGAGACTTCACTCAGCTCACATCTGTAGCCAGGGGCCCCCTGACATGGATGTATATAAAAGAGATTGGATTACCCAAGTAATTATTATTTTACACAAAAGATGAACATGAATTTATTGCTCTGGTGTCTCACATTTCTTTTATCGATCATGGAAAATGTTTTTGCAGACAAAATTACAAAATACTGAACTTCTAGCCAAAGTCTGTGTTATTTATAATTTGATAAAGATATAAGGCACTTCAAACTAAGATGAAATGTCATACTAACTCTATTACTTCGTGCAAAAATCCCTAGAAAAGGCCAAAACAAATAATCAAATCCACATGTTACTGTTAGGCAATGAAATAAAAATCACTTTCTGGCACTTAATTTACTTTTGTCAATTATTTTTCCCCATAAGAATTTAGTAATGATGAAACACCTCAGATGCCCATAATCCTGGAGATACACAACTTAGTTCACAAAGTCAGTGGTATCAGCACAAGTTTCCCTGGCTTTCTGTGCACAGAAGTCATTCACACACACAGTGTTCATTCAGCCCTTAAAAACAGCAGCATTAATTCAGCCTCAAGGACTACAGCAGTGTTTGTGTCTCCATCTCACCCCAACTCCTCCTCCTTTGGGGGGGAAAAAAAAAATCAGAGGGCATCTAGAGGTCTGCATTTCTCACTCCTAATGAAAAAAAACCATTTTCACACATGGCCTAAAAGGCCCAGAAACTTTCAACACAAAGATTTCCAAGCTCACTTTGGATTCTTGGCTAGAAAAAGGAGGTTTCACAAAGCATGGTTTTAAGTTTGAAGTTTCCTCATCAATGCAACTTATTTTAGTAACTTATGCTGTTGTAAATCTGCTTTTCTCTTGTTTTACACCCTTTTTGTCTTGTTTTTGCAAGCACCATGAATTTGTAATACAATGAAAACAGGTCAGTGGTAGATCAGAAACTCTTAATCCTTGGATAAAGATTATTTTAAGATCCTTCTACAGCCACATATCAGCAGTATGTTATCAGGGCTTTTGTTTGTTTGTTGTTTTTATAATTGCACCAACATGCCCAAATTATCCTTTTGGGATGGTCAAAGGTGAGATGAATAATTCCTAACATCAAATAGTTCAAGATTAAAGCCTCACTGCTGTCCCTGAGATCCTTTCCACAGCCTCTGCTTTCCTCTACTGATTGCTTTGCCCTGTTTCCATCTCTAAATTTTCTTCCTCACCTAATCCAGTGCTCTCTGTGTGTCTCACTCTGGGATATTAATTTGCATTTTATCACCAGATCAACGGTGTATCTGTTAATTCAGTCCGACAGAGGAGACAAACACCTCCCTAACTATGTTATCCTACATCTTTTTCACACTTTTTAAACCAGTAGCTGTAGCGCTTACGCTCCTTGCGGTCGCTGCCTAATTAATTAATGCAAATATAACAGTTCTATTTGCATTTCCCCAGCTGTTCCCACAGCTCTGTTCTGAAATCCCTTCGACTTGCAAATGTCCTGCCTGAAGAGGATGTCTGAAGGCAGCTGCCCTGCCTCACACACACCAGCCCCCACTACACCTCAGCCCCCACTGCAGCACTCATCACCCCACTCACACACAGC